TATTTTTTAAAAATATATTATCAATGATTTCCTTTTTTATTTAAATAACACACTTGAGTAGAGGATATACTTCAAACGGATATCCTACTTTGATGGGAACGACAAGAAAAAGATTTTTCAAAGCTATAAAGATTAGCTAGAAAAAATATTGGCAATCCCAGCAACCAGTGCTTCTTCTGAACGAGGAATTAGTATTTGTTGGGAGATTTTTAGTATCAATAAATACTAATTTTAATTTATTAAATATTTTATTAGATTATATAAATTCTATATCCGTAATTTAAATTGAATATTGCTCAATATAGCAATTTCCTAAATTATAAAACTTTTTTGTAAGGATGTATCGCTGAAATTAAATCATTTTTTATTAGATGCTTAAAAAATTGTGAAAGAATGAGCTTATTTAAATTTTATGGCGGCGTGGGTTAAAACTTTTTTTTATAAATAATGGGCGGGTTGAGAGGGTCGGGTTAAATTTTTTAAGAATATTGAACGAGCAGGCTTGTGGGAGAAAAACCGGCCCATTGCAGACGTCTAGGGTTAGTTATAAAAAATTATTCATAAAGTAACTTGCCAAATAATCTAACTTGTATGTAACTAGTTTTACCCATCTATGGACATAACCAGTAAATGTAACTCTTTACTTTTTAAAAGTAACGATTAATAATACTAGAATATAGGTCTTTACTTATTTTTGGTTTTAACCTTGACTAATTCAAATAAATTGTATTCCTATTTATAACCAAATATTTACTAACTTTCCTTAAATTATTTTAAACTTTATATAAAAATGGCTAAAACGAAGTATCTGATCTTGATTCAAAAAAAGGCTTAACGATTTTTATATATTTCTATCTTCTTTAAAAGTTTACTTTGGCATTCGCTAAGTAAATATTTCTATGATTATTTTGATAAAAATTATTTATTATTTACCGTTCTTATCAGAGATTGGATATAATATTTAAAAAAAGTCAAAAATTAAAATATAAGTTTAAAATTAAAAAATAAAAAGATTATTAATTATTATCATATTACATCTAATAATTTCATCCCAAAAATTCTGCCAGAAAAAAAGATGAATTTCACTTATTATATTCTAACTTGTTTTATGGGTATATTTTTAATTCCCATGTTAAAAGGTAAAAATTTTTTAAATCTCTAATTAACATGTCTATTCTTTAACAGAAGAAAGACGTTAAATACGGGAACTTTAAATCAGATGTTTACAATAAATTTAGTCCATTGGGGAGTTAAAAAAAGAGAATTTTAGGAGGTGTGTTTAATTAAATATTTAATCTGTGGAGAAAAAAAAAATAGATTATTAAAAAAAAATTTGTTTTTGACTCGTGGAAGGAAAATAATTTTTTTTTATAAAAAGGTTGTCAAAATTCTATAGATTATAAAAAATTTTTTTAAAAGAAAATATTAAATTTATAACTTAGTTTCAGGGTTTCCCGAGTCGTTATAACGGTTAGTTTGATTCAGGTTCTTAATAGATCGATTTGTTCAGGTTTAGAAACCCTAAACGGTCTACGCATTTTGCTCCGTTTTTTATAAGTTTTGGAATATATTAAAATAATCATAATGTATATTTTTTTTAATCGGCCTATAATAATCTATTGAAAATTATTTTAAATTAAAAAACGGTATCACGTCAATTCGGTTAAGCGTCAACTCAGCGCGGCGGCTAATCGGCGCAGCGTCAATTCGCTCAATTCGGAACGTATCTAATACAGTTTCAATTTCATTAGTAAAAAAAACAAAGGGATCATTAAATAGAAGTCATGTTGAGGGTTGGATATCAAAAAAAAATTCAAATATATTTTTTAGAAGTTAGGAATTAACAAAAGGGAAGTCTCATGCTCAGTGGTTAAACTTTTCAATCATATCCAGCGATTGTATTAATTTAGAAAATAATTATTGACTAAAAAAAATAGATTTTCCTTTTAAGACTGACTCATTTGATAGATTTATTAAGAATCCTTAAAATTATTCTATTAATCATAAAAAATAAATATCATTTTTAAATCAGGGTTTCGAAGCGAATAGTAACGATTCATTGAACCGTAACCGTAATCGAACTTTTATTAAAAAATATATAAAGAGCGAACCGAACTGTTACAAATATTCTTGAACCAATTTAAACCGGTTGACAACGGTTTTCTAAAATAATTAATTTAAAATTAAATTTTAATTTTCCTTGGGGGGCAATTTATATTCGTGATTTATTATCAAATTAAAATTATTTATACTGAACTATTATCTTCATCTCACAATAAATACCAAGTTTATTGTATTTAATTTATATATACTCAATTTAATAGAGATTAAGCAAATTATAAGTTAATTAGATAAGAAATAATCTACATGGTTAAATTAAATAAGGAATTATAAAAATATCTATCAAAAATATTTTTTTCTCTAAGAGTATAATATATACAAGGTTTATGATTAATTTTTTTTTTAAAAAAATCAGATTTATAAAAAGTGGACGAACCAAAAAGAACTGTCTTAAATTCTATACCGATCCGAACCTAAATAATATTTTTCAAACCTAAATGGAACAAAATCTCTTAAAAAATTTTAAACAATACTTTTAACGGTTCCAAACTCTAGTTTAAATAATTTGATTTTTTTTTATAGATCAACATATCTTATAACAAGGCTAATTGGTCCACCAAAGAAATCGGTTTAAAGATTGGTTTGCTAATTTTTTTTTAAATAATATTAAATATTTTCTTGATATTACACATTTAGTGAATAAAATTGAGATTTTTTTTTAAAAAAAATATATGTAGAAATAATTAATAGGTATGGTATACAACATTCAAAATGACTTCTATTTAATCATCCTTTTGTTTTACACTAATAAATTTATAATAAACTTCAACTGTATTAGATACGCGCCGAAATGACGTGGATCTTAGAAAAACCTAACAAATTTTTCTCTATTTTATTATAAAACATGAATAAGAAATAAAAAAAATTCGTACAATCATATTGCATACGATTTATTTTAAAATGCGTGTTTCAAATCGGCCCTAAACCGCGTAATATGGTTAGACCAGTGCAAACTAATTTTAACGGGTATATCCGCTACTTTGGTTTAAGCTAAATTAAATTTTGTTCTAAACAACCAAACCGTACTTAACAGAGCTAAACTAAATCGTTCTTGAGTCCTGTCTAACCAACCAGTTAAAGATTTAAAATAATCTATAAGGATTCGGTTTTCTGTTTTTGTTATTTTATGAAATTATAACGATCTAGTCCATATGCTTTTTCGCGATACTGTTTGACACACGAATTAGGTATTGGTTTTAAGACGAAAGACAATTGATATTTATGGATAAAAATAACGCGTAACCGCTGGTCGAATTGGCGAAAAGTTTTAGAAATTTGATCAGCTGTTAAATTGTGATCGCATCGCGTACAAATTCAATCCAACGATATTACTGTTTAAAAGGTTGCAAGATATTAAAACTGAACGCCATATAAAAAACATTAATAACTATTACATTTTGAAGGATGTACAAATTGATTTTTTATTTTATATAAAAGGAATTGTAATACCAGGTATGCCATTTTATCTCCTATTTTATTAACTTATGATTTTTTTTATATCAACATACTAATGCTTTGATTGCTAAGATTGGTTTTACATCTACAAATAATATATTTTGTAACGAAAAACTTGGAAGAAAAGGATCGTTTTTAAAAAAAAAACTGAAACCACAATGAAACTTCATTCAAAACTTCTTCAAAGTTTTTGAGTAATTCCCGAGAATAACTTTCCAGACAACCCCCTTCCTCCCTCAAAACTAACATCATACCTTAAATTATATACCTAGGGCAGGCAATTAGGGCTCAAATACTTTAAAATTAATATTGTTTATTGTGCAATATTTAGCATTCTATTCAGAAAAGCCGACCGGCAACCTTTAATAAAAAATTTAATGCATTTTGACATAAGATCGTTTTATTGTTTTTAAGTTTAATTATCATCATATTCTATCTAGGATTGTTTAAAAAAATGAATTATGACGTAGTTTAAAAGTTTACACCAAATGATATATTTTTCCATGGTTTTCTTTCTCTTTTTCCTGATGATGACTAGTCGATTATTTATATTTTAAAATGATTTTTTTAGACCAGGAGAGTCCCAACTATTATGATTATTTAGGTAATTATTAGTAGTAATAATTCTATTTCATATTTGTTATATTTATTTATATGACATAGCTTTCAAAAATGGGTGGGGGGCAGTGGGATTAGCCCAAAATATTAGTACCCAAGCTAGAAATTTCACCACGGCCTTGAGTTTATTTAAATTTTATTTTGGGCGACGCGGGTTCGAACTTTTTATAAATAATATGCGGATGGGTAAAAACTTATAGACTAAGGGGTGGGTGGGTAAAGATTTATAGACTAAAGGGTCGACGGGTAAGAATGTTGGGCGGACGGGCTTGTGGGCTAAAACTCACCAGCTGCGGACCGGACCTCTAGGATGGGTTATAAAAATTATTTACAAAGTGACTTGCAAAATAATCTAACTTGTAGCTAACCAGTTTCACCTTTTTTAAAGACATAACCAGTAAATATAACAATTTACTTTTCAAAAGTAACGAGTAACCATACTAGAGTATAAAGTTTAATAATTATTTTTGTTTCTATAACATTAACTTAAAATGGCTTTTCCCTATTTATAAACAAATGTTTACTAAACTTTTCTTGGCCCCTCAAATTACTAATATAAAAATGGCTACAACGAATAATCTGATTTTTATTTTTTAAAAAAAGGGTAACAATTTTTATTATATAATATAATAATATATTTTTACTTTCTTTAATTGGCAACCACTAAGTAAATATGACTAATTTAAAAAGAATTATTTATTATTTACCTATCTACAAAATTTTTTTATTTTTTATTTATAAGAGTTTGTATATAATATTTTAAATAAACGAAAATTCAATCATTTATATTTAAAAATTAATTTTAAAAAAAATATTAAAATATAAAAGATTATTATATTATATCTAAATAATTTCATTTCAAAAAATTCGGTCAAAAAAAATGAATTTCGCTTATTATATTCTAACTTGTATTATGGCTCTATTATTAATTCCCATGTTAAAAGGTAAAAACAAATTTTTTAATCTCTAATTAACATGTCTTATTCTCAACAGAAATTTTAAACTGGAAAGACTCTAAATACGGGAACCATAAATCAGGGGTTTTACATTAAATTTAATCCAATGGGGGGTTAAAGAAAAGAGAATTTTAGGAGGTGTGTGCTTAATTAAATATTTAATCTGGAGGGGAAGGGGGAATAGATCATATAAAATAATTTTTTTTTTTGATTCGTAAAAGGAAAATTGTTATACGTTATAACTGTAAGTTTGATTCAGGTTCTTAATAGGTCGGTTTGATCCGGTTTAGAAACCCACAATGGTTTAACCTTTCATGGTTTTTATAAGTTTTGGAATATATTAAAATAAATCAGAATATGCATTTTTTTTAATCGGCTCATAATAATCTATTGAAAAATATTTTAAATAAAAAAAAGAAAGTCAATTTTTTCTTTATTTCAATTATAAAACATAAATAAGAAATAAAAAAACATAAAATAATAATCATATAAAAATTTGTATACGATTTATTTTTAAATGAGGGTTTCAAATCTGCCTTAAACCACGTAATATGGTTATACCAGTGCAAACTAATTTAAAGGGGTTTATCCGCTACTCTGGGTTAAGCTAAATTAAATTTTGTTGGACCACCAACCGTAATAAACGGAGTTAAACCAGATCGCGATCGAGTCCTAGCATTCTTCTATAAGGATTAGGCTTTCTGCTTTTGTTATTTTATGAATAACGTTATAGTCCATATGCTTTTCGCGATTGACGCACTAATTAGATATAAGTTTTAGGGTGAAAGACAATTTTGATATTTATAGATAAAAATGACTCATAACCGCTGGTCGATTTCTGCGAAAAATTTTAGAAATTTGATCAGCTGTTAAATTGTGATCGCATCGCGTTCACCTTAAATCCTCCAACGATGCCATTGTTTAAAAAGGTTGGGAGATATTAAAACTGAACATCATATAAAAAAAACATTAATAACTAATACATCTCGAAGGATGAACAAATTGATTTTTTAAAATATTTTATATAAAAGGAATGACAGTACCAGGTATGCCATTTTATCTCCTATCTTATTAACTTAATGATTTTTTTTTATATCTACATGCTAATGTTTTTAATTTGAGATTATTATGTTAAGATTGGTTTATCTTTAAATAATATACTATATAACTGTAAACCTGGTAGGAAAGGATCGTTTTCAAAAAAAAATGGAAACCACAATGAAACATCAATCAAAACTTCTTCAAAATTTTTGAGTAATTTCGTAAAAAACCTTCCAGAACCACCCCATTCCCTTTCCCCAACACTAACATCATGCCTTAAATTATATAACTAGTTTTGAGATCAGGCAGCATATACTTTAAAACTAATATTATTTATTGTTAAAATTATGGATAATTATCTGCTCTTAATGTATGATCTTAAAGATGAATTTAACATTCTATTTAGAAAATTAATGTATTTTACATAAGATCGTTTTATTGTTTTTAAGTTTAATTAACAAATCATATCTAAGACAGCGATTTAGAATTGTTTAAAAACAAGAATTATGATATAGCTTGAAAGTTTACTCCAAATGATGTTTTTGATAGGGCCTTTTTCCCGATGATTTCCCTGATTTATAATCAATTTTTTATTAATATAATTTGAAATTTAACCATTTATGGATGGTAATCATTTTATATTTTAAAAATTATTTTTTTAGACGAGGGGAGTCCCATCTTATCGGAAAATTTAGGTAATTATTAGTAGTAAATTCTACTTCAAATTTGTTATTTAATTTATATTACATAGCTTTCAAGAATAGGTGGGGGGAGGAGGGTGGGATTAAGCCTGAAGATTTTAGCCAAAAATATTAGTATCAAAGCTAGAAATTTCACGATAGGATAATTATTTTTAGTAGAACTGTAAGAAAAGTTATAACAATGTTATATTCTGATTATAGTTGCATTATTCATGTAGTATTATCTATATATGCAGTTTTTTTAAAATCTCTTTTTAGAATTTGGCGAAAGTAAATTTTCCTATATTTATATATTAACCCTACGCTAAATTATTATTTTATATTAAACGTTAAATAATAAGGGTATAGAACAATTTATATTATTACTATCATCTTGGAATGGATGGAGCGACTATTGGTAAAACGATTAAAGTGTTTGGTTTGAAACTTGCAAAATAAAATGAATTTTGAAATATTAACGTCTAGTCTATACTCCAAAAAAAAATTTTTTGAGCAAGAAAAAACATTAATAAATAGTTTATTAAATGGAACAAAAGTATTAAAACACTAGTTTGAATAGTTGGTATGATATAGATCGCCCAAATTTATAATTCTCATTATAAGACTCATTCACCGATTCGAGACCATTTATATCATTTTAAATCATGTGAACACAGTGAGGTAGCAAGGATTTATCTATAAGTAGAAAGGGGAGGGGGGGGGGATTATTTACCGGCCTTTAGCCTGGTCCCTATTATAAAGAATATGATTTTTCGGATATGAAATACTAATTCTAAAATATGCCAATATTGTGTGACTTGTTAGTATCTGGCTTTACCAGAATAGTAGCCAGCATAAATGAAAAAATTGTTAGTAATAAAATTTTGGCCAATCTTAGGATTAAAAATCGACTTGATTAATGTTTAGTGCTTGTATATTAATTTAATCCGTTTGGTAAAAATAAATCTTGTTCTTTTATAATTCCTAATCGAATATAGAACCCCAAAAGGAAACTGAGTTATAAAAAGAAAACACGACCTTACACTTTAAGCGAGAAGTTAGCCAAGTTTAAAAATGAAGTTTATACCAAATCATTAAGTAGGGCTTTATTAGAACATTATGTTGTTTTATTCTGTTTTGTAGATTGGTTAAAAGGGGAAAGAATTATTGGTAAAAAAAAATAAATCATTATCAAAATTAGCATCATACTAGAACGGAGTATATAGAAGTTATAACTTTTTGCATTGTTATTTAGTGCCTTACTTATTAATTCTTTAATCAATTTTGAAAGCCACAAAAATAGTAATTGAATTACTTAACCCCAGATATGGAAGCATTATCTCTGATATTTATGCCAATAATTATTGCGAATTTATTTCATTACTTTTTACTGCTTCAGCACATTATTTGAAATAGTTTAAAGAAAAACATTATTGGTAAAATAATAAAAAATTGCCAAGAGTGAATGTTAGAAAGGAAATTATAGAAGCAATGAAAAAGGCATGATAAGTACCTACTAATTTATCATTAAGTTTTTTCTAATCAATAAATAAAAACCAGTTATAAGCGAAATAAAAACTACGGCATGCCTTAAACTGTGTCCTAAATATCGAAATTTTAAATTACGATTCAAGAATCAATCATGTCTAAATGCATTGAAGTTCTTCTCTGATTCAAATTTTTTTTTGAATCTTATGATTTTTATATATGTTTCCAGTTTATTTAATATATAAAAAAATTGTTTTTTTAGGGGATTACGGGGCCCCATACTTATTCTCTACGTCACCATCTGAACCCTTTTATAAGCTGGGACGTCCATAAGGTTCAAAAACGATTTTAAGCAATATTATAGTTCTTTATTTTTATTATTAACATATTCTCTATAGGCAAGGAGAATGAAAACGACGATCGTTCTTTCGAAGAGGTAGGATAATTTAATTATTATTGGTTCGATACTTTCTTGCAAAATTTTTATAAATTTATACTATATATGTATAAAAATATAAATATAGGAACAAGAAAACTTGAATTATGGTGATGATGAGTTCAGTTGAGAGGAAAACGACGAATTTTAGGATTGGACAGATGTTATCATACAAAATTTTATTTTAAACGCCATTTTATAGAAAAATAGATTTTTTTTTAAAAAGACACTATTATTTGTGTATTTATATAATATATATATTCGGTGCTGTACTTAGTATACCTAGCCCTATAATGTTTTATTACATATTCAGTACTGTATTTATAAAATGGTGATATTTCTTTACTCTATATAATGTTTAGCAAAATATTAAATTACTATCTAGATAAATGAATAAATAAAGGGAAAAATATATATATATAAAAAAAATTAAAAATATTTATTTGGACGAAACAACACATATCTAGGCAGTGTCGAAAAAAAAATTTTAAATTGTTTTATAATGAGAGGTTATGAAAAAAATATTAAGACAGATAGTAGTAAATTGGCGGATAAGAGATGAAATGTGCTAACCAATCGCTTTAGAAGTTGACTTTTTGGTCAAGGAAAAAGTAGTTATGATGGGAGTGTGTGTGAGGGAAGGGGTTATACAACACTCTCGTTGAAGATAGCAGCTATAAATTAATTTAGATGGTCAAAATTTAAAAGTTTTTTCTATGAATTTGCTAGTTTTGAAAGATATATTTTCTCAATCATAAGAACATACCCTTGAATTCGATGAATGAGGATTATTTCAAATTTAATTTGTAGTGTATATATTAGCTGTAATAATATGCGTTTGATTGCATTGTGTTATAATATCTTTTGACAGAAATTGGCATTTGCGATGATACAACACTGGGGACAGGGGGATTAGTAATTGCTAATATTTATACTAACTTAGAAATCAGAGATCTAAGCTCGGATGGACCGGGTAAATTTTATAAAAATTATAACGGGCCGGGCAATTTGCACATAAAAAAAATTCCGGACCAGGTAAGACAATTTATACATAAAATAACATTCAGACCTTGCAAATCTGTTTTAAAATGGACCTGTGCTTGCGTCGCAAAACTTTTTTAGCATTTCATGGTACCTCCAATTTTGGCGGTGGCGTGACGCTTATTTATAAATGTCTTAGAAAACACAAATCTTGTATAAAAATATTCATAATAAATTAAAACAAATACTAGTATCAATATCATTTATATTTCTTACAATAATATGACCTATTAGGACAGCAAGCATAAATTGAAACTTACGTTATAGAACGCAGAGCAAGAATTACATAATTTACAATACTTGTTAGGAAAATAAGTTCTCAGCTATTATCACCCTGAGTGAACCTATTTTCTCTGTTACTGGTTCGATACCGAAATCAACAAAGATCTTCATTATCTCCAGAAAACTTGGAGAAAATTATATTTTTACAATGATACTTACAATGATATATCTTCTGCTGGTAATAATTTATAAATTCAATTTGTATATTTATTATTATATTTGAGTAAATGCATTTATGAATCCATTATTTTATTCCCTTTTTATAAATAATGTCAAATTTTTCAATCATGTTGATAAATAAGGCTTAAGTTGAGATGATTCAATTCTTTATCGTTTGTTAAAAGATATTTTAAACATTTATAAATTTTTATGTAAATTTATATTCATATTAAGTTTGGTTAAATTTTGATTTTTTGTGCTTAATTTTGTTGGCAATAATATACAAAATAATTTACACTATTTATCAAGCATGTTGTTTTGTTGGCACGTCGATGTCGGTCTAAAAACGGACACGCGTCGCCGCCGTCGAATAATCTATCGGCGCACAGGTCTGTTTTTGCGTGCTGCCTTAAGCCAATATGTAATTATAAAATTGTCTATAATTTTTAGGTTAGGTATTCTACACATGCTAAAACGCATTTCAGTTAAAAAAAACAAATTACTAAAACAAAATTTCTTTTTTAAAAACGTGCTATAATAAAAGATTTAAAGTTGGTAAATAGCACAATCGTTTGTTTGAGGACTTTCGGTAATACTATACTATAAAAATTCAGACCATTTATTGATAAACTTTTCATTCATTATCAATTTACAAATTAGAAAATTAACTCAGATGTTGATGAATCGGAAGAAATATTTTTGAAAAGATTGTATTAATTTATTTTAAAATTATGATTCATATATTAAGGACATATAACAATGCATTATTTACAAATGCAGTTTAGAATAGATAAATATTATTTAAGTTTCTAACAATTTTTTAAATAAGTAGACTTAGGGGTCAAATAAAAACTTATATATATATATATAAAAATGTGCCAGGCATTTAGTTCACGTTATTTATTATTTTTTCTGCCAATGTTTTAAGGATATTTAACTTTTAAAATAAATTTTTTACATAAACAGAGGCTGCAGTTGGCTGGCTGAATAGCAGTGAGGCCCAGACCGGTTAGAAAATTTTTAACAATGGGCTTATAAAGGACGGACGGGCTTGAAATATTATACGAATGAAATAGCGAGGAACGGCTTATTTCTATTTAAAAATAAGTTGTTTACTTCAAAATGATGCTAATTTAAGTATCAACCATGTATTGTAATAAAATAACCAGATATAAAATAAAGAACAAATTAACCAACCAATCAAATGATCTCTTTAAAAAAATCATGCGGGTGGGTCAAAACGACGTTTCTAATTCGTATCAAAGAAATTACCCTGATTGGTAAATATTTTAAAAAAAAATTAAAATGCGCCAAAGATTAATATGAGCTAATATTTAAATTATAAGGATTCGTTTATTTTTTTTTTTTAAAAAATAAATATTTTCAAATTATGCTAAATGAAATAATTTTTTTTTAAAGAACTAGTTTTGCCTGTAAACATTTATAAAGGATCGATTATCTTCTTTGTAAGATTTTTTTGTTACTTTATGGTTCGTAAAACTATAGCGGCTTTGAGATACTTTTTGCACCTTGGGGATTAAAGTATTGAAATGGATTTTATTTTTTCTTTTTATAGTGCACCCTCTTAAAAATTATTTCCTCTCACATGGGGCAAAAAAACCATTTCTGGACCCAACCCTATAGTATAAAATTGATTCCATATTCACAATTTGAGTTGTTAGCGATTTATACAAAATACGCTATGTTTTTATATTAAACTTCATCGAATTCGAATTAACTCAATGAGGGGTGTTACGTGTTACCCTGAATTTACAGTTAGTACGACATCGTGATGAAGTATACAAATTCGCGCTAACTGATAGATTTGGATCTTACAATCAACTCAAAAGGTGAACCGCTAACATCAAATCGTTTTAAAAGACATTTCGACAAATTTTTTATTTTAATCATCTACGATATAAAATTATCAATAATACATATAAAATTTATAAAAAATATAATTTCGATAGTGTAATGACAAAAGATTCAACTAACACTACGCTATAAATAAGCTTATGCATAATAATAGCTGCACAATTTATGGAATAATTGTTAACTTGATAATTTAATTTAAATGCTTGTATCCAGGTTTTCTCGAAATCATTTCTCTTGCTTTTTACAACAATCACCTAAAAAAATAAAATAATTTTGAAGTCACATGCTTAAAGAAAGAACGAATGAACATGGATTTTCAACACCTTCAAATTCTTTATATTTATTTAATTTATTATTTCTTTAGAATAATTATAAGTAAATTTCATCTATTTTATAGCCCTAAAGTAATGATTAATATTTTCAATAAGGCCTCAAAATTAATGGTCCGCATATCACAATCTAATGATCTCATACATATTTTAGAATTGGCCCTTGAAAAGAATTCAATAGAAAAAAAATAAATAATGTATAATCATTTTTCGATGGATTGGTATCTCGTGGAAATGAGAAGTAAAATATGTGTGATAGATATTTAATTTTACAATTCTTATAAAATTAAATCTCAAACATAATTATGAGAGGATAATGTAATGATTGAATGCTTTTTTTTTATCGCCATTATTTTATTGAAATATCTTTATGAATTCAAAGGTTTTAGAAAATCTTTCTCTTTAAAAAAAAGTCAAATCCGGAATCGAACCCGTTTGAATCAGGTCCGTAAAATATTTTTAATGAAAAATCATAAATTTCATTTTCTGGGCCAGCACGAATTTCCCCAACCGGCCCAATTTTTTTTATAATCTATTCAATCAGTATCTTACATCCTGGACATTTCACGCATTCTTTACCAGGCGTGCATCCTTTTTCATCGCGGCATTTCTTACAACACTATAATTTAAATGAAAAAAATTTTTAAAAAAAATATAATGCGATGAAAAAGAGCAGTGTAAAAAGTAAGTATCATAAAAATCGCGGCCTTAATTATCTTAGAACTTCAGATAAAGATTTTAATATCTCAAATGATATTATTTTTCGAAATTTAATATATTTAAAAGAAGATATTATTAAAAAGGTGCATTACATTGCAACATCCCTTGTCGCAACAGTGGCATTTTCCATCACAACCTGTATTATTTGATAAAGAAAGGGATAAAATGGATCAATGCATAATGACAAAAAAAAATTTACATTTTTGGCCCTTTTCTCCTTTTGTGTCATTTTTGCCGCACTGTAAAATAAAAGAAATATTTTTAAAATGGATATTTAACAATAAAATTATATAAAATTTATATTTATAAAAAAGAAAGAAGTGCAACAACTTGCATACTACCCTCCGAGCTTCAATGAAGCAGAACTTCATCTGGAGGTTACTCAAGCTGAGTCTCAATGAAGCAGAAAATTACACCCTCAAAATATAAATTAGATAGGATAATCATAATCGTTAAATTTTCATAATAATATTTTCAAAATACAGCACAGTTGATTGTATTAAAAATATAATAGCTTTAAAAAAAGTAATTTTCAAATGTAAAATATTATTATATTCCATTAAAAAAAATATAAAAGAAAGAAAGGAATTTATGTATGATTTCAAATAATTTATGTTTAAGTTTATTGAAAACAATTTTCAAATAATAAAAAAAATGAGAGAATGACTAAGAACAAATGCTATACTCTCGGGACCAATTATTAGAGAACTTTGGATTAGTGTTGTTAAACGGTTCAATTTTTAAGAATGGATAACAAAATATTTAAGCCAAAAAATATTACCACACCTGGAGATTTGGCTCATTAGATGGCAGAAAGGTTTGAACATCTATTAACTTGAGGCTTGCATAATATTATTTTAGCTATTGTTATTATTTGAAATTCGCTAAATTGAACCGTTTATAACAACACTAATTTAGATATTAACCAATTATTCACCATATGGTTGGGAAACACCACAATATGTTGAGTAATATATCTATGTTAAAGGAATTAATATTAAAATATGGATCCCTACAATTAAGTCTCTTAAGACAGGTATATTAGTATTTTACCAATAAAAAAAAGTTAGGAATATAACAATTTTTAGTGGGAGGGCTTGCTTCTAACCGATTTTCGTTCATGTAAACGTGGATGATGAATAAATCAATTCATTCTTTTTTGACGGCGAAAAGGATAAATTTCTATTTAATAACTTCAATATTTATGCTTGATTACCTATGTTTATTTAATACCTTTGCTCAATTTATCAAATCTTATATTTGGATATGCATTATGTAACCACGAATGTGGCAGGCCTATTTATTTTACTTAGCATTGCTTAAAATAACACAAAGGAATATAAAATATAAATGGAATAATTGCATTTGATACATTTAACTCTGATATACCCTATTTCCATATCGAGCTTATTACCATACCAGGACTGTATATGCCCCTTAAATTTAAATTGTTTTTTATATAATTGGATTTTAGCATATTCTTAATATTTTTTTATCATGAAATAAACATTGTAAAATATTTTATAAATCAAATGATAGTGTATTTTACGCTTTTAATTCAAAAACACTTTCCTATTTTAATGGTTTCCTATAAAAAGAATATCCAACTATCATACCCTGGAATTGTTTACGATTAGAATTACCAGCGTCTGATGCAATAAAAAGTGACACAGATATTAATAACTGTAAAACCTTTATAGGCACAAGTCTAACAAAAATCAAAAGGTGTTGGTTCAAATAGCGTATGAATTATTCTATTCCTGAATATTGGAAGTGTACTTGATGATCTAGACTTTATAGTGTTAAAGCAATTTGGAATTATTATGGAGCCGTGTATACACATTTCAAAAATTTAGCAAATTCTAGAAAGAGCCCAAAATTTGATGGGTTGTCTACCCGATTAGAAAGTGGTAAATTCTTATCAGATCTTACTTTTATGTATGATATTCCATTTGAATGATCAAATCTGTCTTTAAGGCTTCAGTTAATAAAAATTAGTTTACCTAAAGCTGACAAATCAATAAAGAGAACGATTCATGTTCTAAAATCGTAGGATATGCCTTGTATGTTCCAAATTGAAAAAGGCTCGAAAAACTAGGGAAATAAATACATTTGAATTAATTGAAGGAAAACAGAAAGCACTATGGTATCAACGAAAATCAATCAAATGCAAAATTGATCAATTGGGGGGGGGGGCAAATATAATAGTTTTTATATAAATATATTTCAATTTTTATATATCTTACTAAATAAGCTATTATATACACTCGAAATTTTTTAGCAAAACAGTATTATGAAAACCTCGAGATTTAGCCGCTAGAGATACATACCTTTCTGCCATTTATGAAAATCTCCAGGCTTGCATGGTCGATTATATCGTACTTTTTAACGACCATAGCTATAATGTACTTTATATATGCTCCGATATAAACTATTTAAAACAACAAAAAATTGTGCCTCAAATTCTTGGAAAAAACAAAAATTCGCCTCTATTTTTTTTAATTGCCCACTGACTTTTTTTTTAGAGTAATAGCGTGTCCCTAAGACTAAAATTACTTGCATCATACAATACATGTTTATCAAGATTTAGTACTCTATCAGTGACTCTACACTTACCCATCGTAATTTCAGGAAAAACTTTTAAATTAAGACTCAAACTTTCTAAAAAAAAATGTGTTTTTATAATATAATCAAGACATTGTTTTGGATAAAATCAAAAATAGAAAAAGGTAAAAAGAAGAGGTCAAATCCTAGGTATTTAATTATTATTTATGCTATCAAATAAACAGAATGCCTCCCCATTTAATTTAAATAAATATTAACCTTTGAAAATTTTGTGAAATGTTTTAACTTAAATAAAAAATTCTAAATGTAGAAATTAAAGAAAAAAAATGGTTTTCTAATTCTGATCTTGAAAGAAATTATAATTTCTTGTAATTATATGAACTATAAATATCGAACTTTGCAACAGTCCTTAGAGCATTCGCATTTTGTGCATTGGCAATTCGCATTTCCACAGAGGAAACGTCTCTGTTCTCCAGTGTCCTGACCAGCCTCTTGTTCACTCATTGTTATAGTAAGTATATGCTGCTACAAAAAATATATTAAATAAGATAATATAAAGGGAACGTGACTATATTACTATTTAGTCAAGTTTTTAGGGTATTATATTTATAATGATTTAATTTTCCAATTTTGATCAAATTGACCCTTTTATGCTTATTATATTTATTATTACTCGCACACAGTATTGATTTATAAAGCTTAGCATTGGCCGACCTTTTTGTGCCAATTAGAAAGCACAGTCGTGACCAGATGCCACAGCATATTTAGTTTTATGCTAGAAAGCAATCTCGAAACAAAAAAAAATATAGATTAAAAAATTTGATACAAAATCAATATTCCTTTTAAAATGTTATAATTGTTTTCTTACATAGTTCCGTTCTTAGAATTTACAGGAATTAAGAGAATAAAAATTTAATTTTAAATGGCGCAACAATTTTGAAAAAAATGTAGGTAAATAAAACTAGTTTATTATTGTCTATTTTATTTATTTACTTTTATATATATAATTATTTATTGATTTATTATATAATTACCTGTGATAATTTAGTTATATACTAATGTTTTTTTTTGGTTTTCTTTCATCAAAATACACTTTTATTATAGCATGGCATAATATATATTTTTTTTAAATTAAAGTTCAATACGTTTATTCTATAAAAATGAGTGTAGAGGATTATAACAAGTAGCGTTGTAAATTTTAACAATATTGTTGAATAAAATTTTAATTAGATTTAGAGCCACTTTTACCCTAAGTTTAGTATTGTTCATGAATTGCTGGTCAAAAAAGTTTACCATTCCCAAATACCAAATAGGTCGATCTGGTCGAACCAAATTTTAATATAATATTTATTGATTTTGTATTCTTTTGCGCGTTCATATTTTAAGTGGAAAAAATAATAAATAGTATAAATATAAAAATTGAATTCTCGGGATTTTTGGTATAGCTCCCTGCAGACCGGGTAAACTGGGTTCAGGGTACATTTAAAAATATTTCGTAACTGGTTTGACTCGGCCTAAAAAAAATATTTTAAAAATCGGGTCGGGCAGATAAATTTATATTTGGGAAATTTTTCCTAGTGAATTTTACTATTGTAAATAGGACTAGGCAAATAGATAATATTTTGGGGGTAAGCTATGATTAAAAGTAATAAAATATTTATAAGGATATAAATCGGGACCCTGAACCCTGCATAACCCTTGTATTTTGGCTGTACCAGGCCCCTTTTTAAAAGTGGAAGGTCAAAGGGTTCTAGATGTTATTAAAAAAAATTTTTAAAAAACGATTTATTTTATTTTATTAACTTTTCTTCGTGGAATTAATTTTTTATCTTCGCGTTTTTCTTTTAATTTTCTTACTGGGCTTCCATTTTATTTAGAGATTGGTATCACAAATTATTTTTTTGTGTAGGAAAACTATCATCGATAAAGCAAGGGATTTTGCAAAATATTTAAGACTCTCACAATTGCAAGAATATTAAAATCAATGAAAAGGTCAATGGCAATATCAACACTTTGGTTCTCAATTTTAAATTCTAGAACGATTATTAAGTTTGAAAGATTTGTGTACTGATTTTATTAAATGTAAAGTCGTTTTTCGGAAGATGATTGGTGCCAGATAGGACCTTAATAGTGTATTAGTTCCTTTAAAAATAATAAAATTAAGATTAAAATCAGAACAATTATGTTTATCTGATTTTTTTATGGCATATGGATAAGATACCGATTAGATTTAGAAAGATTTACTAGTCCTTTTTCATATGAAATATTAGAAAACATGAAAATTCGAAGCAATAATATTTGTAAACGTATATGCTTCTATATATTTAGACCATAGATATCAAGTTTTATTGAGTATTGAGTATTGAGCAAAAACAGATTGCTAAAGACCATCTTAAGGATTTATAACTCCATTATTATTGACGGCTACGACAATACCTATTGATTGTAGTGATAATAATGATAATGATAGTAATATTGATGATCTTGAAATTTTACTTTTAGATAGAGAAAAAAAAATCAAATTATCATAAAATAGAAATGAGGATCCAAAAATGTCCATTACATCTTAAATAGAAAAGTTCTCAGAAGTTAAAAGAATAAATAAGGATACAAATATTTTGAAATTCTGGGAAGAAAATTCTTCAATCCATAATTAAATATCTTGTCTAAAATCGTCATAGCTGTACCGGTGACACAAAAGATAACTATATATTTTAGGTCAGTGTAGAAAGTGGATTTTCATCTTTGAAATATATATTATCTAATTCACGTGACGAGGATGATATTTTAGAAGATATTATGATTATGCGATTGAATAAAACGTTTAAAATACAAATTATTTTATTTTTAAAATTTTTATTTGTAAATTATGTTTATGTATAAAAATTCTTATTTTGAGTCATTTTTTTTATTACCTGAACCCGGAACCTGGACCCGAACCCTTTTTAATTTTACTTCTGTCCCGGACACTTTTTTTTGTTGAAGGGTTCACATCCCTGTTTAAAACAAGCTATCGTCAGATATGTTCTTTACCAGTAATGGCCACGTACTACTGTGATTCGGGGGATTTTCATAATTTCACTTTCATGACCTCCTTCTTCACTCCATGTGAGTAATATTCTTCAAATTAAAAAGTATTACATTAAATTGATATTGATATTCTATCGAGTTACATTTACATATAAAATATATTCTTTACTTATTTTGTTGGTGTTGTTATCTTTATCCACCTATCTTAGGGTGAGGAGTTGTAAATTTTCCAGCTAATTTTTCATTTAAGAAAATTAATACATGATTCCACAAAGAAGATTAGGTTATATTCTTTTGTAAATTTTTTAAACATGAATTTTAAAAAGTGGCTATATTTTCAGGAAAATGAAAATACAAGATTTCTTAGTTATAGATATTAGTAATTTGTTGAAAATATCAAAAAGATTGAGTCCAAGATTTTAGATAAAGCATTCGCGGTACTCCCCAACTCTGCTATCTGACAAGCCATTAGATTTTTTAACCTCCAGGTTCTATGTAATAATTAAACCCCCCCCCCCCCCCCCACTTACTTTTTATCTAATCCATATTTCAAAACTTAGACATTTCTTCAAAAACTTGACTAAAATTTAATGATATATCCTCGATATAATCTTTAACAAATGTCTTTTTCGCCATTCCCTTAAAAAGATCGCCTTATCATTAAATCAAGTGCAGCATAAAACACAGTTACATATATTTATAAAGAATATAAGTAAGAATAATTGTAAATAGTTACTTTTTTATAAATATAACTTAAAGTAGTTACTTTTCAAAATTTTTAACAACATCAGAAATTATACACAAAATAAATTTTATAATTATAAAAATAAATCATAAAATAATCAAAAAACAATGATAGTATATTGGCTCGATTGTAAATATCTATAGAAATCTGATAATCGTACATAAAGTTAATCGAAATATCAATGACAGAACACCCTATTATCATCTTCACCTACATGACCATCGTTAGATTTCAACGCCTTCTCACCTGACTATAGCAATTCTTGAATTATTTAATTATTGTTCAATTATGACGATCCACAATAAAACTAAGAATTTTTTTTAGGGATCTTACACTAGTTTCATTTAAATTTTAATGGTGCTAAAAGATATGCAGTGCTCAAAGTCAGATTGTTGCACCTGACAAAATCGCGACAATTTTTATGGCATCAAGAATGCCCCTAGGTAATAATATTTTTATTTTTTTAGATTTAAAATTTTATTTTATACAGCTAATGTAAAAAAAAATTTAGCTTTGCCAGATTTAAAGAATTCTGAAGATCCTGCTATTTCTAACATGTTTAGTGCTATAGTTTTTAAAATTGAAAATTATTTTTTATCACTTTATGGATAATATATTGTTGATATCAAGCTTCTCTTGTACAAAATTGCAAACGATATCGAAGGATATAAGGTTTGCACTAAAGAAGATTGCTTGATTAATTTGTAAAGTATATCCTAAATTACTATCGCGTATCATTTTTTGAAAATATTATTAGATATTTACACTCTATTTTTGAATGTTTTTCCAAAGGCACAAGATTTTTAAAAGGGGAGAAATCTAATTTTTGATTATGAAAGTTCTAGACTTAGAACATTACTATCCAAAAATGGAAAGAAAAGATATAAGTTATACAATATAATACCTACTTTTGCTTAAAAGTTTGGATTTAATTAATTTTTATCTTTGTTAATGACATACTATTGGATTATAAAAGGCTCATATTTAATCGCTCAGAATTAAAAGTGAAATTCTAGGAATGAAACCTTTAAAAACACTCAGAAAAAAATAAATAATCAATGCTTAAATAAAAAAAACTGCATAAGACTGAAACGCTTAGGTTGAAAAAATAAAATCGATCGGGAAAAATATATGAAGCGCCCTAAAACGTCTTAGATTTTAAGAAAAATATCAGCGAAATTCGGTGAAAATTCTGAACTTTACGGCCTCGTCAACTTTCAAATTATTTCTAGACAGCCATTTGTTAAACGCCTATATAGCTTCCTCTAAACACCTTAAAAAAGAAGTGATTTAGATTTATAGAACCCGAATAGATTTTTTGTTTAATTTGTACCCTAAAAAAAAATACCTATATAACAATTAATAATTATTTAATGTTCATAAAAAACCAGAAATGGGGTGTAGCTCTTAAGGCTGAATAACCTTGGATACGCCGAAATAGGTTTCAAAAATAATCCGCGCTGGACACGTTCTAAGTATTAATTTTAGGACTATTTCAACTTATTTAAAATTAAAAAAGTTATAGCAATTTTTCTTTCTTTCTTTTTCAAATTTTTCTAAAGTTTATAATGCGTGTTATCTTTTCAATTAAAATTCTTTTCACTTTACCAATTTCAAGCATAATTTTTTTTAAGATTCATATCTCAAAGGAGTGTCAATTATCTTGTGAATTTGCTTCGGAAATTTAATCTTTTGTACTGTCCTATATATAATTCAATTTGGTGTCCTAAGAAGAAAAAAAAAGTTTATCATAGTCTAGTTATAGCATTTGTAATATTTTTAGCATTTTCTTTTTTAAATCTGAGCATTATTCTGTTATACTTTGACAATACAAGATTGAATACAATATTTATTCTAGCTATTTTAGTTTTAATCTGAGCATTAAGAAATGTATTCATAGCATTCAGTATTTTTTTTGCTCTCAAATTTTTAAGAATATTTTATTCTTAGCATTCAATTTTTTTGTAAAAACATATTTATTTTTTTTATCAATTTTAAACATGTTGCTTACATTTCTTTATCAGTTTTATTTTAACATAAATCAATTTGATCTGTTTAGATATTTAAGAAAAAGGTTTAAAAAAATGAACAATAAAAATACTATTAATAAAATATGGCTAATAGGCTATATGGAGCCGTGAATTGATAAAAAGGTTTGAACGGCAAATTTCTAAGCTAATGTTCTGGCAAATATAATATACTTTAGGATCGTCCGTGGATGAGTAATTTTCATTCCTAACTTCTTTAGAGAGGAAAATGCCTTGCCGAAGTTCTTGGAAATTGGTATGATTATATAAGGAATGAAATTAAATATTATTCAGCTTATTTTCTTATATTTTATACCGTCACTTAAAAGTGAGTTTAATATTTAAATTAAAAGTTAACATACATTTCAACTGAAATTGTTTATGCCAGGATAAATCCATCTGGCGCAAATAAAATAATTTTTAAAAATGGAATAAGTGGGCATTAAATTGGAAAATTTGTTTAATATGAAATTTATTATTACTATTTTTTTTTATCTAAAATACAAATTAATTTGAGTTTCTAGGTAATATTATGTCATTGGGTAGGGGTTATTTTCTAGCTTTAAACCTGCCCCGACTAAATCAAATTTGCTAAACAATTTAAACAACACTAGTTTTTATGGCTAAGAATTAAAAGTTGGAAAACTTTCGGAAAGAAAAAAATTAATTTTAGTTAATTAGTGTTTTATTATTATATAAAAATATAAATATAGTTCGAACATGAACAAAACTTGAATTATGGTGATGATGCAGTTAAAAGAAAAACGACGAATTTTAATATTAGACAGCATTTTATCGAAAAATAGATTTTTTTAAGACACTATTATTTGCAAACAAAATGATATTCAAATTATATATTATCATTGTATATTTATATAATATATGTTCAGTGCTGTACTTAGTATACCTTGCCCTATAATATTTTATTATATGATATATATTCAGTACTGTATTTATAAAATGGTGTAGCTATAATAATGTTTAGCAAAATATTAAATTACCATCTTAATAAATGAATAAATAAAGAGAGACAAAATATATTTTAAAAAAATTATAAATATTTATTTGGACGAAACAACACAAGGCAGTGTCCAAAAAAAAATTCTAAAATTGTTTGGGAGGTTATGAAAGACGGATAGTAAATGGGCAGATAAGAGAATAAAATGTGAAGATACCAATCAATCGCGTTTAAGGTGACTTTTTAGTCAAGGGAAAAGTAGTTATGATGGGAGTGTGTGGGGGAGGGGGTTACACAACATTCTCGAGAATAAGATAGTAGCTATAATTTAATTTGGTTGGTAAAAATTTAAAAGGTTTTTCGATGGATTTGCGAGTTTTGAAGGCTATATTAATTCACAACCATATTAATATACACTTGAATTCGATGAATGAGGATTATCTCAAATATTCAAATTTAATTTGTAGTGAATATATTAGCTGTAATAATATGCGTTTGATTGCATTGTGGTAATATCTTTTGGCAGAAATTGACATTTGCGATGATATAACATTGGGGCAGAGGGGGGGGGGGGGTTAAACTTAAAAATCAGAATTAAGTTCGGATGGTCCGCGTAAATTTTATAAAAATTATAACGGGCCGGGAAATTTACACATAAAAAAATTTCTGACCAGGTCAGGCAATTTATATATAAAATATTAGGCAAGACCTTGCAAATCTGTTTTAAAATTTAGGCCAGTCCTGGCATTAGAATTTTGATATATTTATTTGAATGCTAATATTTTGTTTACTATTTGAAAATAAATTACAATTGCTTATTTATTTGCATCTTAAGGTCTCTAAAATAAATAATATAGTAAATTCAAACAAAAAACGTATTTATGATGTGATCCAATTACAAATAGAAATTATTTAATCAAACAATTGGTTAATAAAACTTTGTTGTAGAAATAGATAGCCATAGAAAATAGGTAAAGGGCCTTAATTAACAAGGGAATGGGGGGGGGGGATGGGAGATAAATAAAGATATCAAAAATGCGATAGCCGAAAAATTCGTACAAAATAACTTTACAGATCAGGCCTTACCTTCCGTAAACCTTTAACAAGTTGTTCTGGGTAAAAAAATCCCCGTGCTGAGCCACGGGTGCAAAATTTTTATAAGCCGAAACGGGTCAGTTATGCAAACCTCTACTAGGGATAAAGAGTAATTGTCCTTCAAATCCTTATATTTGATTTAAGTTCTTATTAAGAGATAACTATATTGGTATATTAACAAAATTTAATCTAAAATGGTTAAATAATATTATTTATATAATTGGACCTGTGCATCGCGATACAAAACCTTTCTAGCAATTCTCTCAGCTATTAGCACCTTGAATGAACCTATTTTTTCTGTTGCTGGTTTGATATTGATATCAATAATGATCTTCATTATCTCTAGATAACTTGGATAAAATTAGATCTATACATGATAACTACAATGATATAGCTGCTGATATAATTTTATAAATTCAATTTTGTATATTTAAACTTATATTTGAGTAAATGCATTTATGAATCCATTATAATATTCCTTTTTTATAAATAATATGCAATTTTTCAATCATGTTGTCAAGCAAGGCTTAATTTGATGATTCATTTCTTTATCTTTTGTTAAGATATTATATAAACATATATAAATTTTTATGTAAATTTATTCATATTTTGTTTGGTGTGTAATAAAGATGTATATACATTTTGTATGCTTAATTTGTTGGCAATAATATACAAACAAATTTACAGTTTATTATGTATGTTTGTATGCTGACATAACGATGCCGGTCTAAAGCCAAATAATCTATTGGCGGAGAGGTTCATTGTTAGTAATGTCTTAAGTCAATAATTTATAAAATTGTCTGAAATTTTTAGGGTAGGTATTCTTCACATGCTGGAACGCATTTCCGCGCTATAATAAAAGATTTGTAGGTATAGCACAATCGGTTGTTCGAGGACTTCCGGTAACGTAGTTAAAATTTCTAACATTTTTTTTTAATAGGTAGGCTTAGGGATCAAATAAAAACTTTAAAAAATGTGATAGATATTTATATCACGTTATTTATTTTTTCCGCCATTGTTTTAGGATATTTAACTTTTAGAATAAATTTTATACATAACAGGAGGCTGCAATGGACTGGTTGTTGGGCAGCGAGGCCCAAACCGGGTTTGAAAAATTTAAACAATGAGATTATATTTTTATTATTATAAAAAGAAAATGGCGAGGACAGGCTTATTTTTATTTAAAAATTGGTTGTGTATCAACGTTAATTTTTAAGTTAATAAAATAACCAGATATAAAATAAAGAACCAAACTAACCAACCAATCAAATCTCTTTAAAAAATTATGCTGGTGGGTCAAAACTACGTTTCTAATTTGTACCAAAGAGATTACTCTGATTGGAAAATATTAAAAAAAAAAATTAAAATGTGCCAAAGATTAATGTGAGATAATATTTAAATTCGTTATGTAATGTGTAAAAAGGAGCACGGGGTATGAAGACCAAAAGTTAAAACCCGAACTTCAATCCATTCCCTACCCAGTTTCATACTTAAAAATTGGTTTTAAAAAATAACCCTTCCCATTCTCTAATTCAATGCTATACCTACAAAAATACGAATCAGATAATTTTCAAATATGAATCTATCATTTTCGGCAAAGTCCATTACAGATATTATATTTATATATTGATGGTGTAGGACTCATCAGAAGTAAATGGTGATTTTACGGAAAAAAGGGAATTATATTTTGTATTTTCTACGTGCATATATAATTGTTTTTTTTTAGGTTTATGTACTCGAAAATAGGTTCCCGTTTCTAAATCGCTAGAACAAAATGAAAATTGGGAATCTAGTGTCTTCTAGAAAATTTTTAAAATAAATTTAAAATGAATATTAATAGATGCTAGGGAAGTAAATTATTGTATTTAAATTGAGTTTTTTTTTAAAAAAATAACTAAAAATGAGGAAAATATCATCAATATTCTCAAATTTCCAATTCTGGGAGCATCTCCATTTTTATCGATTTTTCTAAAAACTCAATTTAAATACAAGTGTTGACTTCCTAGCATCTTTTGTATTATTTACTCAAATTTTTAGCGATTCCAAACTTATCCCCTAAAATGTCACTATTTTGGTTATATCAATAAAAATATTTTTGGAAAATATACACTTTTTAACTATGCAAATTAAATGGTGAATAAAAACGACACTTTTTATATTTTAAAATTAAATTTAAAAAAAATGCAGGGAAGTAAATCCATAGAAAATATCAGTTGCAAAAATAAATAATATCAGTTCAGTAAAGAAAAAATTCTATTTAAATTGATTTTAAAATAATCTTCTGTCAAATAAAGTCTATTAAAAGGAAAGAATAAATTTTATAGTTGAATATACTTTATTATGCTAAATTACTTAAATAACAGAGCATATCTTATCAAATTAGTGTTTTAATAGATTCATTACAAACCTTTTTAAGAGTTTGGTTCAGGAATTTTTTTAAATTTTTAATGAAAGTTCTGTTTGGGAAATAATAATTATCATTCAATAGTTCATCAGATTCTGGAAAAGTAATAATTACATATTTGTAAAATTATTTCTTCACATATAACAGTTAGTTTTTTAATCATCTTATACAATATTAAAACAAATATTCCACTATTATGTAATACATTATACAAATATAAAATTTGAAATGATCTTAATAAAATGTTAGGATTAAAAATTAGTATTCAGGTGTTTTAACTTTTCGTATGATTTTTTCACCAGTCCTTTTATCTTTAGGAACAAAAGGCATTTTGCCTCTCAGTATTCTTAAGCGAGCATATTCTTCTCGAAAATCTAAATGTTCATCTCTGTAAAAGAAAAAGGTAATGTAAAGTGGATTCTATTTGATCACATCTCATATAAATTTTTTAAAAAAATTTAAATGGCTTAGACACAAAAAATGTTACCATTGTAGAAATCAAATTAAAGTTATTTTTAAACTATACAGTTAGGTAGCATAGCTTTAATACTTAGGACAATATAGAGCCTTACAAATCACTTTTAGCCTGGTCTGTAATTAATTTTTATTTTTAGGGCCCCTATATAATCTTATCTCTTTATTAAATAAAGTTATCATAAAAATCAGAGATACAGATAATATTTTTGGTTAATTTTTGAACAAATTTTTTCTAAAAAAATCTTATATAATATTTTAACCTATAAAGCCCATGATCTCTTAATATTCCCATTAATTTTGTTATTTCTGATAATCTTGGATACCATTTAACGTAATGTGGATTTTTATATAAAGGAATATATGAATGCCTTTCCACAACTCGCATACTTGTTTTCTCAGTAGGGCTTACAACCTCATTGAATATCTGACGGCTTAATTGCTCCATTTTTTTAGCATAATCAGACATTCCATCATAAGAAACTTTTTCCAAATAATTGAATCTTTTAGGAAAATGTGCTTTAGTCTAATATATAAAATAAAATATATAAACTTAAGAATAAGCTTACAAAATTCCGAATTAAAATTAAATTCATTAAAAAATGAATGCGAGATTTTATTTTTACAACATATGAGATAGTTCTAAAAATTGGTAATATGCTGGTGAGTGGTGACAATTATCAAATAAAATTTAACAGCTGTCATCGACATATCTTTCATTTCTTTGAGAATATAACACAATTCCAATAATTTTGAAAGATACGAAAGTTTATCATGGTTAAGGGACAAGCTTACCGGACTAAAGGGAACATCAAAGTTACTAATAATATTCTATTTATATGTTTTAATCATTGTTTCTATAGCCTTCGAGTAGCCAACGAGCTGCTCAAATATTATCATCTGATCCAACCTTACTTAAAAGTGGATTTATAGGTTTTAATACCCAATCTTCAGTCCCAACGCCAGAATCTAATGTACAAGACGCTCCTTTAATAATCGGCCAATATGATAATCCTATTTTTGATTTAGCTCTAAAAAAATTAATTAAAAAAGATTTAACTACAAAAATTAAAGTATGATATCAATTTAAATTTTAATAAATATTTTCACATGTAGGCACTCCAAGATATTACAGTCATATGCGAAAATGCAAATATAAATGACATAAGATATATTCTTTCAGGGTGGATAAAGTTATATGAATCTCTTACTTTTGTAATATTTTATTGTTTATTTTATATATATTTATTCATTTTTAGAATAATAATTACACTGTAAGAGAACTCTCTATTAAAATATCTAAATGTTTCTGCCAGATAATAAAATCACAAAATATAACTATTGATAATAACATATCAATTTTCTTATCTAATTTGTATATATCATCATTTTGTAATTTTAAACATTGTGATAACTTTTCATTGATGTACGATGGTATTGATAACTCAAATAATATACTTATAAAAATCCAAGATTTTTTGGTCCTAATTATTATCAAAAATCTAAAGAGTGCTAAGAAAAAAAGGTAAGAATATTTTATTTAAAATTAAAACATTTATACAAAAGGGAAAATTTTGATGAAAATATGTTTTTGACTGTAAATCTGTTGTCAATTCATGATTTATTATCAAGATTCAATTATGAAAACCATGAACTGTTGTTAAAACCTGAAAATCTCAATGTAATCTTTAAAGTTTTAATGGAAGAGGATTTATTTAAAGAAACTTCCAATGAAGTAATACTTTATTTTTATAAAGAATAAATTAGCTTAATAGAGAAGTTATATATTTATCAGTGACCTATAGATTTCAACTTTATCTGGATTGGATTTATTTTTAAATTACCCTTATTTTATATTTTTGGGCTTGGCCTGCACCTTTAAAATTTAAACATTTTTGGTCCCGATCTTTTTTAAAATTTGGTCATTTTCTATTATTTACCAGCATTTTGTTAAAATATTCAGAAAAGAATTGAATAAATGAGCAAATGATTGTTTATAATCATCAGTCATGATTTTTATCATTTGGTTAATGTAAATAATTTGATTTTTTTTAAAAAATAAACCTGATTTAGATTGTAAAATATTTTTGGCTCATTTTATGTTTTAATATTTATTATTGGTCCTTGCTGGTTTTTAAAATTAATGACTATTTTAGGCCCTAACTGCAGGTCTCTGATAAGTAAGTATCCTTATAACAAATTTCATATATACCACTTTAAAATATATAAAAAAGGGAATTATTAGGGCATATTTTTCTATCATGAATGTTTATGTTGGTCATACCCAGAAGATCAGGAATAAGGATCATAAAGATGAAAAACTTGCAGTGCTTTTACATGAATGGGAGAAGTTTATTTGTAATAAAACTTTTGAGATTTTGAAAGATAACAACAAATACCCTCAGTTTTACTATCTCCACATATTGGATTTACTCATAAATATTCTGAAAAATTTTCAAGTATGCATTTGTAGAAAATATAACATATTGAATTATTTTTAAAAAACTACTAAACAATATTTTAAAATTAAATTTCAAACAATTGAATTTATATTATACTATGAAAAATTAAATATTGTTTTGTATTTTACTCTTGCAAAAATTATCTCAAGCTTTATCAAGAGTTTTTAGATATGGAAACTATACTGATCCCTGCAATATTAAACCTTGTTGGACCAGAACATCCAATTAACCCAAATTTAAAATCTCACCCAAGTACAGAGAGTGCAGATCATCTAACTCAGCAACTAAACCACGATCTTAGCAATATCAATTTTATAGACCACAAGGGTAAAACTAGGAACACCGATTTTTACAAAACCCTTAGTCCATCTTTGCCAATATTATTAAAACTCATTACCAGTATAATTTCAGAGGAATCGAATCATATTCGATACGATGTGGAAAGCTTTGTGCAAAATTTTTTTGAGCGTTTTAACAATGGAAGGTAATACAGAAATACACTAGCACACTATTAGTGTTATCATAAAATCTAAAATTTCTCCGATATTATTTTTTTTTAAAAAACGGCTAAATAAACAATTTTAGCCTCAAAAAATTTATTTAACTCTTGAGGTTTGGTCAAATTTTTCTGCCATCTATTTGCCAAATTTCGATGCTTTTGTATGATTTTTTTATGGCTAAAATCTTATTTCCACTCTTTTTCTTTAAAAAAAATAATCGGCGAAATCTCGATTTCGACAATACTATACAATACACCATTATTGATATAATATAAATATAACTATATCCCTAAATTCACCCTATTTTGCCTGTTAGCATTTAGCCCATTCTTTTTTTCTTTTTTTAAAAAAAATTGTATAAACATATTTTACTTTTTGCAAATATATATTTTTTTAAAAGAATATTATGATAATTTTTTTTTCACTCACACAAAAAAAAATTGATTAAATTTTGAAATATATTTTCTATTGGATTTAGAATAAAACTTAAACATTTACATTTGTAAAATGGTAATGGAAGGATTCATGCAAGTTTGCCGTTAGCTTTCAGCTAAATTAACACTGCTTCTCATCATACACATTGTATGGACTGAAATCTTTCGTTGCCTTTTTACTAAAGAGATTTGCCGTCATATATTTGTAAATATATATATACACCTCAGAATCTATTTCTCATAAGCAAGAAGACGGCAAAGGTGAGTATAATTTACCCAGCTGTTTTATATTTAAAGATTTTGAATGAGTTTTTTGTCGTGTCATGTGAAAAGCCCCAAACATAAATTATTACTAAAATGATAACTATTAATATCTCCTCATCGATTTATTAATGGGGTTAGTATTTTTTTATAACATTGCTTTACAGATGGGAAACCTAGAATTATCGCACCAAATTTATCGATTTGGTCTATCTAAAAAGAAAACAAACATTAAAGATTTAAGAAATATGTATAAAAACCTTTTAAAAAATAGATTATAAGCTAAAATAACTAGTATTTGGATTATATGATTTTCTATTTTATCCTGTAACATGACGAATTGCCTATGTTCTTATCATCAAAAAGAAATAATAAAATCGACCTTCGGATCTATTGTATTTCATTTGTTTAAAACGAGCATAGCTAATATTGCCGAAATTGCTTAGATTGGGTGATGTCGCATTGGAGTCTTGATTTTTTTAAAAAAATCAATGATTTAAATCAAAACAGTGAAAGATAAGGACTTAGATAAGCAAATTAAATAATCAGATTGCACTATTAATCACTTGTTAGACAGAAAATTTTATTTTTCTATTTTCAAATTTTGACATAGTAGAAAAATAGCTGCTGATCTAAATCGCAATAGCGAAAAATTATTTAATATTCTAAATGTAAAACGAAACTAACATCAAAAATTTATTTTTATTTCTTTAAAATAAAACAAATAATTAATTAGTTTGTTAAATTAAGAAATAACATATATTAAAAATCACAAGTAATATTTATATCCTCAACATTGGTATTGGAATATAATTGTATAATTAGAAATTTATATCTAATGAACTTAAAAATAGATTACCTTATACTTAATTTTTTTTATACTATAATACAAAATTTGGTTTCAAGATTTTCAAAAATAATAGTAATAGGAACCGAAAAATAAATAAATTTATGAATGAAAAATATGCCCTCAAGTTTCTTAAATTGGGCTAGTTTCTAACCAGTTGAGTTTGAAAAAATTAAATTTCACTTAAATCAGAAAATTTTACAATAAAGTTATTTTAGCCAACAATATTAGCCGATCTTCTTTCGACACCGATATTGATAGTTAAATTTTTTTTTAAATAACTATTATCATATTTGAAAAGGTATCAAATAATAATCATTTATTTTTCAACAATTCCTGACTTGTTCCCTTAAGCATTAGTCCTTTATTTGCAAGATAATATTTAACTGCAATTTAAAAAAACAAGATTTTAGAATCTTAGACCATAATTCTCTCATTAAAATTTGAATTATTTTTATTTGGTTTAAATCGCGATTTACATTAAAAAATCACGATTTTTGCCAACCCTATGCCGCATCCGGGACAACTGAAATTTGTCAAAGACTTCCCATCTTTTGACCTAATAGAAACTTCCAAAACACGGTTCTCTATATCCTATTATACGTCACTAAACAGATTTAGTTTGGTAATCTCTATGCTTAATGAATTTTTATTTGAACAGTACAACTGGTAGATTTATTGAGGTGAGACACTTGAAGCTTAGGGGCTATGTTGATCTTATCTTCTATAGTTTTTTTTATTGGTTTTATGCGCGTTAGTTCCCTATGGTTAAGTAATACCAAATGATAGTTTTTCATTAAATCATGTGATGCATAATACTCAAAAAAATTTTTGCCTGGGCCTAAAATAATTTTATACGAGTTGTTTGGTTCGTATAGAAAGTTATAAATTTACGTAATTCTCTACTTTAAAACAAAATTTAAAGACTAAATCGTCTGTTCCGGGTCGAAAATTCTTTTTGTACGCATACTCCAGATTTTTTAAATTTTGAAATGAAAATATATTTTTCGTATAAACAAAATTTGTAATAATATATTTTAAATAAATTTGACACGTGCATTGTCCTTGTCCAATCAGAGTCATTGGTTTACAAACCCCACAAATTTGTTTCTTTTATCCAATTTCTAAATTCATGGTGCATCATTTGAGCGCTATCAATAAATTAGGTTCGAAAACTTCTATATGAATATTTTCAGAAAACGAAAAAAAAGGCACAAGGTGAATGCAAAGGAGAAAAGATCATTCAGCACGTTGGTCTACGTTTCGTCCTGATAAGAAAGCACGCTTTTTTTGTTGGCAAGGAAGTCTACAAAAATTAGCGATCTCCATTCTCCACTCAATTTCTACAAGTACATGCTGAAGAAAATCTTTTAGTCATTGAGATGCGAGCTAATTTATCTTCCTTTTGAGGGCTACTTTGTATTTTTGAAACCACGACTTTAAAATCATATTCCTGTTACTAGCGCGAGTTACACCTGAAACCGCTAAAATGTTAAAATTAAAGATAATTTTAATAATTCCAATTTACTACATATTACATAATATTTATACTTGAAACAAGAGTCAATCATCTTATGACATTTATTTTTTAATTTTCCAATGTTAAAATTTAAAAAATTACTACGCCTTCTGATATGGCTTGGGGAGGTGGTGTCCTAAGTGATAGCTCTCTGCTAAAAACTAGGTTTTGAAAATAGGGCAAACTACCTAATTATACTTTTAAGGAACGGAATGAATCCAAGATTGTACGTCTCCTCTATTAATATTTTATATTTTCAATCAAACTCGATGTTATTATTTATTGTGCCTGTTCCATTCAATACCAATCTATGAATGCCACTCATTCAGTTCACCCACAAGTTGATATTCAGAATGTTGTCATCGGGCATGGCATTCCAAATACGGTTTCAAAATTGAAATTATTTGTGAATATGAATAAACATCTGCTCTGGCTAATCTCAAGACGTTTTTCCCTAATTTTCCGTTCACAACATTTTACGAAAATTATTTTCATTTGGAATACCATTTTCAAGTAAACAGAAAGTACATTATATAGTTTGAAAACTTTGATCAACGATTGACAGTTGCGATAAACAATAATTCCTTCGCTCAGAAATTAGCTAATTTTTAGTTATTCCTGAATATATCCTCGAAGAAAAATATGGGAGAATTGTCTTGTGTTCATGACTCTTCTTTCGCAGGTCAAATTTTTTCTTGATTGATCGGATCATCATAATTTGTGTGATAAAATTCAATCTTTTGCATCAACCGCGTAACAATTAAATTTTCTATTTTGCGAGATTAATACCTTCAGAATTTACTTTTTGTTCTTGATCTCCTCGTTTTGTATCGATACCTAATGGAGCATGCGTGGAAAACGAATAAAATCATCTTTTGGCGGTATTTCGAATTATTGCTTAAATTATAAATTCCCTTTCTAATTTTACGTAACGACATTTAAAAAAAATTTTTTTTTGAAATATCATGTAAACAAAAATATTTTCTATTTTATTTCCCAAATTTTGAATTTGTACTTTATTTTCTTTTAAAAATATTTAAATTTGAAAAAATAAAAAATAATAATAACAAAAAATGGAGAACAATAGAAAAATATACATAATTTTTAAACGGTTTAGCAGTTTAAAATATATTTTGGAATTAATTTTCGAAAATAAGAAAGTTCATTTTTAAAACAAAAATTTGACCATTGATTTTTGGATATAACAATATTATTTAATAGGAATTGCAAATCAGCTGATTGTGAAGCCATATTTTTTATCTCTTTCTTTATTTGATTCTTGAGAAGTCAAATACCTGAAATGATTACTCGACAATTTACGAAAGACCACTATTAAAGTGTGATAACAGTGTTTTTAAAGTTATTCCTTAAATGTCCATGACGGTATTAAATGGAATGAAAATTAAGCCAGGTCATTTTATGATTACTGGTTATGGCCTCCGTTTACTAAATTTAAAAAATATATATACATTTTTCTTGTTAAAACCCCAACTTGTATTTTGCTTTGTTAAAGATAATGATATTTTTTTTTAAAATCTTACCACTCAACATTTTAAACTATATTGCTTGCACTTTTGACAAAACCGGTTTCCGGAGATTTTAAAACCGGGTACCGGTTCCTGTAAATTTTTAAAGGGGAGCTTCTAATTCCGATTTTAAATTTGTCTCGGATCTCAGTGTTCCGGATTTAAACACTAATAAAAAAAGTTTGTTTAAATATAAGTCATTAATTTAATATCACTCACGTTTTAAGTATTTAACCCTTCAATACTCCGATGAAAATAAATGAAATACATGCTCTAGTGGGGTCTAATAGATATTAATTTCAATTAAATATATCTCCATTTATATTCATTATTTTGTTTTTATATTTTGATATAAGATAGAACTAACCTTAAAGCCTTATAAAATATATGCATTTGTTATAATTTACTATGCTTAGATCGAAAAAATGTTGAGTATAATTATAACTTGTACCAAAATTTTCTAAAAAATTTAACTGAATATTAAGTATAAAAAAAAATTATTGAATATTAAAACCAAAACATTTCATAAAATTATTATTTATTCAGCTGAATAAAATGGAAAGTTTTTTAAAAAAAAATTTCCTATCTTCTTAACTAAGGTCTAAAAGACTAACGATTTTATTCTAGTGAGGTTTCACAGACTCCATCAGTCGCGAAATGCTTATATCTTAAAAATTTCTCAACCAAAATAAATGAAATTTAAAATATATATTCCAAGATGTATTTAATGAAGCTACTGAAGATCCCAGATCATAATAATTAACAGTTAGCATGCCTAGGGGTCCTAGAATATTGAAGGGTTAAGAATAGAATTTTTTAATTTATAATCAATTTATTTTTAAATATACTATTTTACAAATAATTATTGATAAAAGTTTGAAAGATTCGACTCTTTCGAATTCCAGGATTAGGAATTCCCAAAAGACATCTACCATATACGATTGCTATTTCGAATGCATATCCTACGTTCTCTCTACTTTTAAAAATGATGATTGGCTCAATATATTTCTCGATGATTGGGTAATATAAATTTTTTTATTAAATCTATTGCAATTTTATGGTTTATAACTTCAATTTTCATAAACATAGGTCTATAAGTTCTGTCGACATCAAATATCAACCCTTTGTAACGTGCACGGCATTATTCCCGCGCCCAACCCGCCTTTCATGCATAGCTTTGGTAAATTTTTGCGCGAGTGCGTCCAAAATGAAATCGTGAATTCGTGTATAGCCACAAAATGCTTCGAAATTATAACGAACGAATTATTGGCTCCCATTGTCTGCAGTGGTGGCGTCGATAAATCACCTCGAGAAACGAAGGAATTACGTTTCCGTTCTCATAGTACTAATGATCTTATTAAAAATATGAATTTCATGCACGTAAAGCCATTCCTCTCATCTATTGGTGTCTTAACCTTATTGGACAACTTAAAAAATAAGGGATCTGCTAAAGTATTTTACGAAAATTTGGCCTTATTGTTACACAAATTCATAAGTAGTTTGTTCAGGGATTGTGGCATCATCAATCCTCTACCGATTTCAAAAGATAATAACCACGAATATTATTCTGCCTTATTACAAACTTTGAGTTATACTTGCCAATTAAATTATTGTCTCAAATATCAACACAACCTCGATCCATCATTAACCCCATTATTTCTGGAGAATCTTCAAATTTTATACGAGGTCGATGGGGCTTTTAACCAAAATTTAGCGGGAGAAGACTACGAGAGGATATTTACGCGATTGCATAACGTTTACCAAAATTCTGACAGATTCTCCCTCCTGTCAATCACGCACATGTCCAGAATCTTGGCGACTACTTTTTTTCACGTGAATGACATGGATCAGATAAAATTATTCGAAAATATCTTCAGTTTAGTACGTGAAACATGTATTTTTTTTTAAAAGTTTATTTTTATAAATAATTATTTTAATATTGGTTTTAAAGTGTTGACGGAAACTCGATTTTTACGCTTTCTATAAAATAACGAAAAGATTTTAACCAAAAAAAAAATAAACGCTTCGAGATTTCACATATACAATGGTAGAAAGTTTTGATCTTATGTTAACCACACCTTTTTTTTATCAAAAAGGCGCATAAATAAGATTTTTGATAGACACTACATTGTATATGTTAGTTTTAAAACACATACAAGTCAAGACAGCAACCTCTGGCCCTATTCAATGGACTCTAAAGAATTTAGTTAATTATGAAAAATAGTTTCCTGGAGACATTGAATCTCAAATTTTAGGAGCTAAGATTTTTCTCAAAATGATTCGATGCCCATTTGAAGAAGAAAGGATTAGAATTAAAATGATTATTTCTGTAAAATGCATTTTATTTATTTTTAATTTTATTTATTTGTAAAATTAAACAACAATTTTATGCAGGACAAATCTCTTTTCACGGGTGTGGTGGACCGGGTCGCGACATCTGCAACCATCTACGCGTCTGATAAAGAATCAACTAAATCTTTTGACGCGGACAAGTGCCTCATTTTGCTCGATACTCATAAACTAGCTTTCCTATTAAACATTTCCAAATCAGTATTTAACGTGTTAGATTCAATCTCAATCGATCACGGCAGTGATTTTTTTGATAGCGACTTTCAGATTGAATACCGAACTATCGAAGGTTGCTTAGACAATCTTTGCCAATTTTTTAAAGTAGCTCACCAAGGAAAAGGTGACGATGCATCGGCGCGTTTCTGGGAAACACTCGCGAATACACTGCTAAGCTATCTTGCCAGGATTTCCATAAGCCTTTTGCTAGACGATGGTGATGAAATCTTTAGAAAACGTACTCGTCTCTCACATATTGTAAACGGCCTTAATTGGGTCAGGACCACGATAAGTCGCGCAGAACCGAACATTGCGCCAAATATCGATCCGCATTTCTGTTCCGTTTATTCGGCTCTTTTATTCTTAGATTTGAATGGGTCAGTTGTGGCTAAATTCTTTAATGCTTCCTTAGATGTGAACGAAACGACAATCAATACCAATTTCGATACGGAATCATACCTGAATGATGTAGCTGAATTTTGGGGTCGTTACATGCAAAAATACTTGAACAAAAATGCACGAAATAGTGAAAAGTTGAAGGAAATAGGAAATATGACGAGTCAAAAAGTATTTGAGTCCGATGAAGAAAACTGTCCTTTCCAGTAAAAATAAAATTAAAGTTTATAATTTGAAAAGAAAGAAACTGAAGTATAGAGAAAGGATGAAATTAATTATTTCTTAGAGCAAGCGACATTTATATATAATTACTGTTTATTTCTGTTATAATTTGACAGCAAGATATTGCTCATCAAACTAATGGAAAAGATGTTCGCCCTTACCAAATCAATGGATGACAGCGAAATTGGGTTCGATTTAGTTTTGTCATTTTTACCCAAAGATCCTTCCGCCATCAAGAATTATTTTGATCGAAGCTTATCCCAGAATTCTCAAGTTCCCTTTTTTTTCTCAATCAATAATTAGAGATCTAGTCCCACTTTTTAAATGTGGTTTTATTATGACCTAACCTGGGTTTTAATTTATTAAAACTGGAACCTTTATGTTTTTATTAAAATCAGAAATCGACGCGAGAGGGAATCAGCTCTAATAAGTTTTGCCAATTTGATATATTTTTATTTGTATAATGGATTTAGTGGAACCTTTTGAACCTTCTCTCCAACGATTTCACTCCAAGAGACAACGATTCGGGCAGGGATCGCACTAATTACCCGTTGAGCGATATTTATTTCCCGTCTAACGAAAACGCTTTCTTCCCTTCTATCCGTTACTCGATCGGGCCTTTTCAGGTTGGTTTTTATATTATAAAATTCTTGGAACACCTGGAAGAGAGAAAAAACAAAATTCGCTCTCAAAATCCGCTAGACACTTCTAACATCATTGTAAATTATATCAACCCACCCCAGTCAGCTGATTACGATACCAAAGAAATATCTAACAAAATTTCGCGTTTATTAAATTGGCTCCACCTCTGTTCGCGGAGTTTCAACCTTAAGACCAATGAATGTAGTGCTACTATCTTGAATACATTTCTCCGCCAATGTGTATTTCAATACCAAGTTGGACAAAGCTTGATCGAAATTGGCGATTGGGCTCTTAAATTTACTAACAACTTTTCTTACTTATATCCTTTTGGCAAGGAGGTGGAAAAGAAAATATTTTTAGCACTGAATCCCTTACCCCTCATGCCCAACCCCAAAGCGGAAGAGTTGATCAATAGTGTAACGCCCTACGACGATTTGGAGGAAAAGCGTCGCAACGAACTTAACCGCTACTTTTTCGACAAGCTGGAAAAATTGGAAAACCTTTACGACTCGCTAACGGCGATGACAGAAACGGACTCTTTAATCGTTGAGAATCAATTCATACCACAAATGGGCATGGTTTTCGAAGACGTTTCTCAAACATTTAGGAATGAATTCGATGGATCCACTATTGGCGCTCTATTCCACCCGGTTAATAGTTTACTTGAGTACGCTTCTAGTTGGTTTTCCAACAAATTTTTTCTAGATCTCGTGACTGTTAAAGAGCTCGCGGCAAGCTTAAAACAACCGTTGAATTCATTTAGTCAACAATTGGAACACAATCTCAAATTTTCGACCGATTTTTTCGGCATGCTTACAACTTTTATAGAGCACATATCGGGGTACCATTATCATCAAGAACACACGAATTCCAACAAGAACGGGAGAGACGGAAATGATGCCGGGTTCGAAGATCCGATCACGTTTTTGACTAGGAAAAATACCGATTTCTTGCTTTGTCTCGTTGTGTCCTATACACCGGTAAAAAAAATCTAATGAAATTTAAAACGCGAAATGCACAAAAAAGCAAAAAACTGAGAATATTTTATAAATCCTCTAAAATGTTGAAATTAAAATTCTGAGTTTGAAACTGGAACCTGGACTGGAACCTCATAACTGTTGTTTGTTTTTATATGTATACGTTTATTAAATCATTCTCGATAATACAATAATAACTCAGCTCAAGTAATATTTAGGAAATGTTTTGATTTGCAGTCGGCTGAAACTATCAGCAATGTAAGATTTGCAATCTAATTTTTTGGATGGTTTATAATTTTTAGAAAGTTTAAAACATGTACTTACTTATGGATTAGGATTAAAGGTTGGGGAGATATGGGATAGATTTACTAAGTTAAAAATTTCGAAGAATAAAAATATAGTAACTAAAGATTAGATCAAAATGAAAATTAGACCCTCATTAGTGATGGTGACACATATAAAATTAGAATGCAACGTTTCATAGTTTAATCTATTTTTTTTGTTTGCAACTGTTGTTGCATCGGTTGAGTATTATAGTGTTCTATATCTACTTTTATTTCAAATTGCATATTTTTTTCCTATAGATGAGTTCTTCCAATAAAAATGTTAAAATATAAATTTATAATAATTCTTTTATTTGCATTGTTACAATTTATTTAAAAACAATATATTTTTCTTAAATGTTCTCCTAATATTTTTTTTTAAAAATTGATATGGAACCTTATATTACTCAACCGCCGGTTTGTTAGAAAGTGAACGAAAAGTAAAAAAAAATTATAAAAAAACACGGTTTTGGATTTAGAGTATTAAACATTTACCTCCATTTAGGAAATTTTTTGCCTAGCTGGACACCATATTGTATCAAATATGGCATGATCATGTGACTAAGCGATACGATCTATTTTTTTATTCCATTAAATTACTTTTCGATTTAAACGTAAATATAAATACGAATAAATTATCCTTCCAATTATTCAATGATATAAATATATTCTAGATTGAAATATATTTAAGCGTGTGCATACATAGGATAGGGCTAGTGTTGTTAAACGGCTAACTCAATATTTTAGCCAGAAAAATATTGCCTAAGTCTAGAGATTTCAATAATATATGCCTAGACCTTTGTTCATTCTATGAGCAAAATCTTGAGGCTTGCGTAATATTTTTCTGGACGAAATATTAAGTTAGCCGTTTTTAAAAATAGGCTCAAAACGAGCCATTTAACAACACTAGATAGGGCCATTTTATTGTCTGCACCTTATCTAAATGGCATTTTCCTTTCCCTTAAATAACTGTATTCCTTTTACTTAGAATTAAAATCTTTTTAAAAAAAACTATATTGTATATATTAAACGATAAATTTCCATTTAGTCTACTCGCATACCACGAAGCGGCGTCTACAGCTGATTACCTATATGTACACACTTTTAAGGGATCAATAGTAGACGATTAAATGCACTAATACCGCATTTACCCGATACTGATAAGTTTTAAATAAGATATTATCCAAAAAAATGAAAACTTGATAAAAAAAATATTTTTCCCATTCTGCATTTCCTCAATTTAAAAAAAAAAAATTATATTCAAATTAAAGGATGTTATAGACATCCTCGACACGCTTTACGCTGAAAAGGTATCCGATTACAAAATCGATCACGGGAACTCGTCGAGGATAAATGTGAAATTGTTCATCCTGAAATTCTTAAACTTTTCCCAATCTCTGACTTCGTTGGTATTAAATTCCTCCGACAAATGCCAAGAAACGCGCAAGGAATTTTTGGAGTTTTTTGCTTCGCCCATCTATATACCCATCTATCAATTCTTTATGCGAAATAAGCCTGGTCATTCTTGCCCCGTTATAACTCTTCAACAAAGTTATTCTTTAGCCTAAAATTTATAAGCATGGCTTCTAATAATTTTTTTTAATATAGCACAAATCCTAATTTTAATTTTAAATAATACAGCCTCCTCCTATTTGGACGCCCTGGTTTTGGCCTCCCTCTGCAAATCAGTCTATTACGCTTCGCGGATGCAGGATTTGCTATTGACCTGCGAGAAAGCGTTGGACGAAATTCCTAACAATGACTCAGCAGGGGAAAATAGCGATGAAGCGCTCGAGCATTTAACCCATGATAAATTGATTTTGCGATTGATAACGCGATTTATGGACTTTTTGTGCAATTCTCGGGATATAAGCTTGCAAACATTATCGTTTTTATTGGTTTGCGGGTAAAAAAAAATTTTTTTTTAAAATTTGGATAGGCGAGTAATGAAAAGAAATCATAAATATGTAAGGAAGTACTGGAAGCATTACGGGTAGAAATATAGAACAAGTTAAATATAAAGTGGGTTTTAATAGAGATCTGCAAAGTTAGGGCCGGCCCGTACCCGCCCCAAGTCCGGCCTGAACGGGCTTCGGGTCAGGCTCAAGCCTAATTCTATTTAAAATAATTGGGTTCGGGCCGGGCCTAATATTTCTAAAAAAATTTAGGGCCGGGTCGGGTCGGACCTTGGAAATTTTATTAAATATATCTATAAATTTATCAATTTTATTATTAATTTTTTATGTGAAATAAAAATTTTTGATTTAATTTATTGAAACTAAACGCTATATAACATATGTCTTTTATTTTAAGTAATTATAAAAATTAATTTCTATGTTTAAATAAATTCGGGCCTGGCCGGGCCGTAAATTTTTTTAAAATAAATTTCGAATTCGGGCCGGGCCGGCAAAACTTTTTAAAAAATTTCGGGTTCGGGCTTGAAAAATTAGGCCCGATGCAGATCACTAATATATATATTGGGGAGGGGGCTGGCATCACGATTCAAATTCTAATTCATATTATATACTATTTTAGAACCTTGAAAAATTATAAAGAATGGAGAAACGTTACTATCTTCGAAACCGATACGGAAAAGATTCTTGAACCAGAAGGTTTTTAAAAAAATACAAATATTATGGAAAGAAAGAAATTTTTTTAAGTCTAAAATCTATTAATTAATGTTTTTATTTTGAAGGTGATGAAGATATGGTATATCCAAAAATAATTAACCTCGTCTTAAACAGATGTCTAGGGTTGTTGAGCAAAAAAACGAATGCCGACATGTTAGCAGAACCGAAAAGTAATACCATAATTAATAGAATTTAACTATAATTTCAAGATCTTGATCTCAATTATTATATGGTTCTACTTCTAAGTGAACTTTAAGTTGGAATTTGAGTTGAGATCTCTTAAAACTGTTAAAGTCAAGGAAATAATAATATTATTCTATTCTAATTCTTACTTATCGAAATCACTCATTTTTAGTTTTACTTTCATCGGCACTAAAGATTTTTTTAATATTTTTTTTACTTCCGAAAAACAACGTTCTATGATTTATTTATCATGAAATGACCCTAATCTTATCTTTTAAAAGCCTGAATTTGACAAATATGATTCTTTAAGATATTAATCTTCTTTTGCGGATACACATGTTTTTTAAAAATGTATCTATCTATTTTTTCATATTATCAGAGACCTGCTGGCCTGGCTATAAGCCCGGCTGTCGTATTTTAATTTTTTAAAATATACTTGTGGTCGGGCTTGAAATTTTTTTTTTACAAATAACCGGCCCGGTTATTCTATATATTTTAAAACTAAATATTTTAAATCATCATTATTAGCTACCATAATTAACAATAAATCAAATATCTTTTTAAAAAATCCGAGCCCGGAAATTTTTGAAAAACCGGGACAGGCCCGCGAAAATGGTTCATCTGCAGATCTCTGCGTATTATGTTAACCACATGGTACGATATTTTTCAAATTCCCTATAAAATTAATCCAAATAAAAATTATTAATATGACGACGATCTGTTTATAGTTTAATTACAATCTGAGCAACTTGCGCAATTTAATCGAACTTGGTTGGATTTTCGGAAAAGATGGCGCTGTGTTTTTCCTTTTATATTTATTTCAAATTTTATTATAATCAACGAGCTATAAATTGCCTCTTTTTTTACCTTTGCTAGACGAATACACTAAAAACTCACTGGTCTTAGGCTTGAATTACTCCGTTATACTAACTTTCCTGTGCCTCAGGACGTGTTCCGACCAATCCCTGAAGTTGAAAGCCATACAGACCAACGTAAACGACATAATGTCTTATTCCCAAAGCGAAAATGACAAGCTCGAGATTATGGATGAAGTCCATAACATGTTCGCGAAAGAGCGCACCGATTGTACGCTCGTGGACCTTTGCTTGGACAAATGCTTTGACGATATCTTGACTTGGTCCAACCAACTCTACGATGAGAACAACAAAATCTTACCCAGATATTGCGAGGACAAACATGTACTCCATACCTGGTGGCTCAAAGTTGGATTACCGTTCCAAGAATCTTTCGATGAGAATGTAGGCGAAAGAAATAAAGTCGTAATGGATTCCTATTTCGATTTATTTGTCATGGCCGCTATGGGAAAAATATTGATACCTCGACAAGGTTATTTTTTTATATATATAAAACCAATAAAATGACGAATTCTTAGATTTAATTTATAAATGTCATGTCATAATCTAGCGTTTTTTTAAATTAACGTCTACCGTTACTTGTTTCGATACATTTTACAGCAAAACTAAGCTTCAGTACTTTAATTGTTGCTATTATTTAAATTGTATTAACAGTAAAATAATTACAATATATGAATTAATATCCTAATATAGGAAGGTGGCCAGATTTTACAAATATTTTAAGAATATGACCACTACATAAAGGTGGGCATCCTGGTTTATGTTACATATGAATATTTATTTTTGTAAGATATATTTTAAAAGGTCACGTTATATATTTTAAAAGGACGTTATTTGTATATTATATTATAACTTTCCGACATGTAATATTATATTATCGAGGTTAATCAAATTGCATATTATTAGAAATTAAATTGGATTATTATATAAATGTATATATACAAAAGAATTAGAAATAAAATTCATTATCGTTTTTTAAACTTTAATCGATTTAATAGTTTATTCCGATTATTTCAAATTTATATTGGTTCGTTTTGGTTTTTATAAGTTTTTTATTTTTTAAAATAATCATCGTATTATATTATTTTGATAATAATACCTAATAATCTAATAAAAATATTTTAAAAAATATCAAATAAAATTAAAGAACATAAGCTGAATTACTTTATTTGAATTGAAAACATTCATTAGCTATCAAATTAAGGTAACATCATAAATTGGTAATTATTTTTTTTAAAAAATATTTAAAATTATGCCAATCATTTAAAATAAATAAATATGATTTCAAATACAGTTATGAACTGGGTTGAACATGTTAGAAAGTATTTATAATAACGATTCGCTCTTCGGTTCGACACCCTGATGACCTTCATAAAGAAGCAAAGAGGCGATTACTTTTAGTAGGCTCATTTGGTATAATAATTGATAAAATTATTGTTACTAGACGTTTTAATTATTCGCCAAATTTAAAAAAAAAATAGATTTCAAAGCTCAACCGACGCTTCCCCCTTCGAGTTTCGAAATAACTAACATGAATCCTTCCACTTTTACTCGCGAATGCCTTTGTTTGCACCAAGTGTTCTTAGCCTTGAACGAAATCCCGACCAGACTCAGGCAAGTCTGGTCGATTTCGCCAGATAGTAGTGGTGGTAAAAAATCTAACAGGAGCAAGGCTAACATAGCGAGAGTCAACAAGTTGCTATTCGTTCATTTCGAATTGGCGAAGCATTTGATGGATCGTGAATTCGACCGAATAGCTATCTATTTCCCTCAACAAGATGGCGCCACTGCCAAAGATAATTCGGTGGCTAAGGTCAATAAAGCAAGCTCAAAATCTGATAAACCGAATAAGGTCATTAAAAATCCATTCGCCGAAGATCAGAACCGATTTTACGTTAAAGTATAATATTTTTTTATTTTAGATGACATTTTGATGAAGGATTTATGCATCAATCTCTTCCTAATTTATTATTGGAACATAATGCAGCTTTTTTTATCTAAGATCTTTATGAAGTGAGACCCTCATTATTTAACGGTCATTTTGCTCTGAAATATTTTACAACTGTTTTTTAGCACCCCATAGCTGAAATAGCTGCGTAAACAAATAATCGATATTTTTTACCTTACTCCCAAAACGCGTTATTTTAAATTCCTGAGATTAAAACATAAACTCCATTACGGAGCCTCGTGAGTTTTGGGACTTCTCCTATTATGAACCTACAAACCAAAACGATTTATTTATGGTAGACTGGTAACTTTATTTTTGAAACCAGTTTAAGCTACAGTCAATCCTGTTCTAATTAGACTATAATCCAAAAAAAAATGGATGCTATTTATTACAGGTCAAGAGCAAAGTTCGTGAAATATCTGCTACATACGAAGCTGACGATTTTTCGATAGAAATAGACATCAAATTGCCGCTAGAGTACCCGCTGACCCCGTGTCAAATAACTTGCGACAAAAAATCCGGAATTAATCAGACTCAATGGAGAACCTGGCTCTTACAATTAAACGCGCTCATAATATATAGAGTATGATGACTTTGCGTTGTCTTAGAAAGGCCTAGGCCGCATTCATAATGGCATCCGATCCCACACGATTTAACAGCAATCTGTTTAAGAGATCAATTCTTCTTTTAAGATATTTTTTAGAATTACTATCACGAATAGAAAAAAGTTATTATTACTATTAATAATAGAAAAAATTGTCTCATAAACAGATTTTAAAAATCGATCAGCTGTTAAATCGGATCCTACTATGAATGCTCTAGGCACAGGCGATAGAATATACAATGGGAGGGGGGGGGGGTTAAATAATTGTCAAAGCTATCTTTAAAACAACCCTGATATGTTTTTATAAACTATTTTATCTTACAAGCTAATAAGTTCGCTGACTTTGAGGTAAATTTTAAATTTTTTATTGACATTGTTATATTTTAGGATGGTTCCATTTTGGATGGTTTAAAATTATGGAAGCGAAATGTTGATAGATACGTGAAAGGAGCTGCGTCATGTATGATATGCTTTTCTATGATAGACCCAAAGGATTATTCCCTCGGCAAAAACACATGCCCTCAATGCAAGAATAAATATCATTCTACTTGTTTGGTAAGGATTAAAAAAAAATATGTTAAGGCCGAACCCTGGTCCGTCTTATTTTTAAACCTATTTCTGTTTAACCTGGGTTAAACAGATTGATCTTGAACTAGGACACTTCATTTAGGTCTGTTTTTTTTGTTTGTACAATTAATATTTATATTGTTTTTTTTTTCGGTACAAATAAAACAGATCATTTAACCATTTTAATATAATTGGCCTTTCTTTTTAGGATGGTTAGAGGAAGCTTTATTTCTCATTTACAGTTATCGCTAATTCGCGGCCAAGAATACAAAAATAGAGTATGTTTTATTTATTTCCCCGCAAATTCGCGCTAACTGTTGAACGAGACGTTAGAAGGCTAAATAGACGATTTTTTTAGAAATATATATTTTTTCCATATCAAACTTTTGCAATTTAGAAATAAATAATTTTTATGCCAAAACTTCTAAGAATATCCATTTTATATCTGAAAATTAGGATTTATCACACTATTATTTTCTCGAGAATAGTCTTTGATCAAATTTTAACTAAAATTTTGAATCTTTTATAAGTTTAAATAAATCTTTAAAAATTGTTTTTCGAACTCTGGTTATTGTCATTATAAGTGAGGAAAATTATTGAATATAAAAATATATTTATCGATCTTTTAGATGTACAAATGTAAAAATTTCCAACTCAGTGAGATTTTATTTAATTTCTTATTTTTTTCTTAGATTTTCTTTATACCATATTCATTATAATTATTATTATTTTAAAAGTACAAATGGTTTAAGACAAGTCATAACACAACATGCCCATTATGCAGACACCGGTTTTAAAGCCATTGTCATAAATTTTACAATATTTATTTTATATTATATTTATTTACTAAATAAAAAATCCTGACAATATTATATAATGAATTAATTTATAATTATTTTAAAATTTATTATAAATATTATTTTCCTTTTGTTTGGTTAATATTTTATATGAACTGCTAATGTTACTCATTATATCTATTTTTATAAATAAAAGAATATCTGACTAGTATATTTAATAATCTCTAAATTTTTTTTCTTCAACTTCATCCTTCCCTAAATCGTTTTACAAAACATATGATTGAACAATATATATCAATTTGCTAAAAAAATCTAATTTTTTATATTAATTAATATTTTTATATACAAATCCTACATTTTTAAAAAAAAACAATAATAATACACTTCGATGGCTAGTGATAATACACGTCAAACCATTTGCTAAACAATTACCAGATTTTGTAAAAATATGTCACTTTTTTAAAAAAAAATATATATTAACTGAATCACGGGGTTGAATCCGATCTACTCTGTGTCATCTATCCTAATGAAACCGCCAAGTTGGCTTAGAAGAAAAAATGACCCTTGTTGGATTCGAACCCAAGTCTACCGGATTCGTTATTAACGCACTCGCCGACTAGGCCACAGACGACATGCGAAAACATCCATTTTTTCATATATTATAATAAATAAATGATGTGTTTAAATAATTTATGAAAAAATTATTTTAAAAACAGTGCCTCCTTGGCCTGTATTTTTAGTCGCTTTAGATGAGGTTGATTCCATTTTAAAAAAAAGGCTACGAACCGGGAATCCATCACATGTTTTTTTTAAACAAATCAATGTAAAATCAAGGTATAAATGAGAAACAATAAAGAATGATAAATACCGCATCTTATCACATTATTTCTAAACGATAATTAAAGCTTAGAATAGATTAAGCTCCTGAGACGTAAGGTTAATTGGTATTTTATTATCTCAATTGTTTAGGAGCTTTAAAAGGCTCTTAAGTCAGAAAAGTTATAACCGGGAAATATTTCTGGGAACGACTCCAAATTTAAAATGCTAAAAAAATTTTATAAGTTAAAGATCTGTTGCTTGCTTACCCAAAATACTTTTTATTAGAATTTATGTCACTCCATAATAAATTTCTATGGTTAACATTACTGTTTCTTTTTCCTATTTGTTAAATTTAAAAAATTGTAAATATTTTTTCGTATGAATTATTTTTTTATAATATTTTTTTTTAAAATAAAAAAACGAATCATTTTAATAATTCTAACTCGAATGCAAAAAATACATTTTTTTAAAAATTTTTCATACGAATGTGGAATTATTCTAGAATAACCCTGCATTCACAGTTAGCGCGAATTCTTGGTGAAGTATATAAAAATTAATGTACAGGAATTTAATATAGCAGAAAATGAGAAGCCGCCCTTATTTTAGTAAGATTATTTAATATAAGGGGTGCCAGCATCCAACCTCTCAGTTTAAGGGATCTGTTAATTTACTTTTTAAGATTTTTTATTACTATGGTTCGTAAAACTATAACGGCTTCGAAATACTTTTTCCACCCGGAGTATTAAACTATAAGGATAGGTTTTACTGTTTTTTTTATAGCACATCCTTAAAATTTACCCCTCCATGGGGCAAAAAAATCCTTCCTCGACCCAACCCTTATAGGGTTGGGTTTATATTTCCAATCGGACTCGTTAGGGTTAATTTAACAAAAGACGCTATACTTTTATATTCAACTCAGCGAATTAGCGCAAACTGAATGTGGCGTTACCCTGAATTCATGGTTACCACGATATCGAGATGAAGTATACAAATTTGCGCTAACTGTGATGCAGTTTATCATATTGAACCTAAGGTGTATTCTTTATTGACAAAAAAAGGTGAACCGCTAACATCAAATCTTTTAAAAAGACATTTCGACAAATTTTTTATCATAATAATTTACGATATAAAATTATCAATAATACATATAAATTTATAATATAATTTCGATAGTGTAATGACAAAGTTCAACTAACGATACGCTATAAATAAAGCTTATGTGTGATAAAACTGCACAATTTGTGGATTAATAGTTAACTTAATAATTTAATTTAAGGTTTGTGTCCAGGTTTTCATGAAACATTTCTTTTGCATTTTACAACTACAATCACCTAAAAAATAAATAAACGACGAATATTTATATATTATTTTGAAATCACGTGCTTCAAGAAAGAGCGAATGAACATCGCTTTTCAACCCCTTTCAAATTCTTTATATTTACTTATTTAATTGCCATTTAAAAAAAAAATTAAAGTAAATTTCATCTATTTTATAGCCCTAAAGTAATGATCAATATTTAAATAAGGCCGCAAAGTTTATGGTCATTATATCACAATCTTATAATTTGTCATGAATATTTTACAAAGAATGCCCTTGAGATGAATTCTATAGAAAATCAATAAATAATGTTATCATTTTTTGATGGATTCATATCGCTTGGAATGAAGTAAATATGTGTGATAGAAAATTTAATTTATATTATATGTCATAAAATAAATTTCAAACATAATCATGAGAGATAATGTATGGTTGGATCGTTTTTTTTGTTAGTGCTATTATTTTATTGAAATATCTTTATGAACATCAAAGTTTTATAAAATCTTTCTCTTTAAATAAAAGAAGTAATATACATAAAGATCAGAGCGACTTATAAGCCAAGCCCGGTTTATTTAAAAAAAATTAATTAGGAGTCGGAACCCGTTTGAACCCTGTCCGTTAAATATTTTTGCATGCCCAGTTTTAATATATTTTTTATGAAATGAAAAATCATAAATTTTCCTTTTTAAAGATTTATTTTTTTAAAAAACAGAAATATTTTTTCCAAATTACCAGCCCAAATTTTGCATATCTCTAATATATATTCTATTCAATCAGTATCTTACATCCTGGACCTTTCAAACATTCTTTGCCAGGCGTGCAACCTTTTTCAGCGCAGCATTTTTTACAGCACTATAATTTAAAAAAATATGAAATAAATATGCTATGAAAATGAACAGAGTAAAAGTAAGTATCATAAAAATGGTGGCCTTAATCATCTTAGAACTTAGATAAAGATTTTAAAATCACAAAATTAGACCATTTTTTTAAAAAAAATATGTATTTTCGAATTTAAGATATTTAAAAGAAGATATTATTAAAAAAGATTACGTTACAACATCCCTTGTCGCAACAGTGGCAACTTTCATTACAACCTGTATTATTGAAAATATGTAAGAAATTGATAAAATGGATCAATACATAATAAAAAAAATTTACATTTTTGGCCCTTTTCTCCTTTTGTGTCACTTTTGCCGCACTGTAAAAAAAATAAATATTTTTAAAATAGATATATTTTGGAAGCTTGATTTACAATGGGTGTTTTAGTCTTCCTAGTGTTAAAGCAATCTGGAATAACTATGGGGCCCTGTATTACCAAAAATGTAGCAAATTCTAGCAACAGAGAAAAATTTGACGGGTTGTCTACCAGATTAGAAAGTGGTGAATTCTTATCAGATCTTGCCTTGATATGTGATATTCCATTTAAATAATCAAATCTGTCTTTAAGGCTTCAGATAAGAAAATCAGTTTACCTAAAGCCGAAAAATTAATAAAACAAACGATTCATGTTCTAAACTCGTCTGAGGATATACCTGGTAAGTTCTGATATCTAAAAATAAGGCTTAAGAAACTAAGGAAATAAATACACACATGGATTAGTAATATTAAAGGAAAACAGAAGGCACACTGGTAACGAAAATCAATTATATACAAAATAGGTTATTGGGGAGGGGGGCTGATTCCGATAATTCTACTAATTAAAAATACTGTATTAAATGATAGTTTTATCGTTTTAGTTATCTTATCTGATATAGAATATTTAAAAAAAAGATAACTGGCCAGTAGCGCCTCACATTTTTGGGAAAGAGGAAACTAATGACTTTGTCCCTATTGAAGTTCGATGTTGATCTCGTAAATGTGATGGGGGAATATAATCATGATTATAATCCTATATTTGAAAGAGTTTGTGAGCGCGGTATTTACCTTAAGAATGTCTTATGACAGATTTGCAGGCAAATCTTATTTAAAAAATATTTTCATTCGCCTCTTATAAGTCAGTGTAATTATTCTCTATATATTAAAATAGTGGCTGACAAGTCACAGGTCAACGATAAACGATCAAGGAAACTTGTGATAATATTATTAAATATATCGAAAAAGATTCACTATGGCGAATATAATAGTTTTTTTCACCTTTTTTTTAAATATATTTATTCCGATTTATACATTATTATATTAGAATAATATGATTATTTTTAATAATTACGAAAAGTATTCTAAAAAATTATGCCATCATTGCGATATATTTCAATTTTTGTATATCTCACCTAATAGCTATTATTATATAACAGATATAATTACTTCTTTCTTTCTTTCTTTCTTTCTTTCTTTCTTTCTTTCTTTCTTTCTTTCTTTCTTTCTTCCTCTCCTTCTTTCTTTCTTTCTTTCTTTCTTCTCTTCTCTCTTCTTCTCCTTCTCTCTTTCTTTCTTTCTTTCTTTCTTTCTATCTCGAAAGATTTTAGCAAAATAATATCGAGTAAGCCTCTAGATTTGGCAAATAGAGGTCCAAATCTTCCTGCCATCTATGAGCAAAATCTTCAGATATTATTTTGACCAGGGCTTTTTAACAACCCTAGATATAATATGCTTAGATATAAACTATTTAAAAAATTTCAACAAAAAATTGTGCTTCAAATTCTTGGGAGAACAAAAATTCTCCTACCCTCTTCCTTGTTTTTTTTAAGAGTAATAGCATGCCCTCATCACAAATTTACTGCGACATACAAAAATATGTTTAGCAGGATTTAATACTCTCAGTGACGCTATCCCATCCTTACCCATTTTATTTTCAGGAAAAATTTTTAAATTAATGCTTAAACTTTATAAAAGAAATATGATTTTATAATAAAATTAAGATGGATAAAATCTAAGATAGAAAAGGTAAAACGAAGAAGTCAAGTCCTAGAGGTATTTTATATTATTTATTATGCTCTCAAATAGTACATAATATAATAAACAGAATGCCTCCCTGTTTAATTTAAATAATTATTATCTTTTGAAAATTTTGTGAAATGTTTTAACTTAAAAAAAGTTGCTAATGTATATGTAGAAATTAAAGGAAAAAAAATGTTTTTCTAATTATGATCTTAAAAGATCAGTCTTCTGAGTATACTTATAATGTGTCGTTATTCTATGAACTAAAAATATCGAACTTTGCAGCATTCCTTAGAGCATTCGCATTTTATGCATTGGCAATTCGTATTTCCGCAGAGGGGAATTTTTCCTTCAGAAGTTTGACTGACCCCTTGTTGAGATTGCATTGTTGGAGCTAAAATTGATATTTTATTTTAATTACACTAAGTATACGAGGTAATGAATATTAAATAAGAGATAATAAAGGGGATATATCTGGTAAAGTGACTATATTATCATTTTGTTAAGTCTTAGGGTATTATATTTATTTTCAAAAAATAGCAAATAATTTTCCAATTTTGACCAAATTGATCCTTTTTTGCTTATTTATTGATTTAAAATGCTTATTTTTTATTACTTGCACAGGGTATTGATTGATTTTTAAAGCTTAGCAGTGGCAGACCAAAGCACCCGGTAACATTAGTTATGCTATGCTCGAAAGCATTTTCGGGGCAAAAAAAAATATACTGCCATTTTTAGAAGTTACCATTTAGATTAAAAAAAATTGTTTTAAAATCAATATTCTTATTTAATGTTTATAATTGTTTTCTTACATAGTTTCGTTCGTTGAATATACAGGAATAAGAGAATAAAAATTTAATTTTTAAATGGCGTTAAAAAAAAGTTAGTAGTTATGTGGGTAAATAATACTAGTTTATTATTGTCTATTTTATTTATTTTCTCATAATATATATATATATAATTATTTATTGATTTATTTTTTATAATTACATATGAATATGATAATTTAGTTACTTATATTTTTTGTATTTTTTTTTCATCAAAATAACACTTTTATTATAGTATGACATAATATATATTTTTAAAAAAAAATTCAACACGTTTATTCTATAAAAATGGATGTAGTTTTATAACAGGCAGTTTTAATTTTCAAAGATATTTCTGAATAAAATTTAAATCAGATTTAGAGACAGTTTTATACTAAGTTTAGTGTTGTTAAATGGTGGGGGTTTATATACGACATCGACCGTGTATTGTGGTCGAAAAGGTTTACCACACTCAATTACCAAATAGGTCGATCTGGTCGAACCAAATTTTAATATAATATTTATTGATTTTTTGTTGTATTCTTTTGCTTGTTCATATTTTTTAGTAGAAAAATAATATATAAAAATTGAATTCTCAGGATTTTTGGTATGGCCCCTGGAGACTGGCTAAATTGAGCTCAGGTTCATTTAAAAATATTTCGGATCTGGTTTGGCTTAATGCCTAAAAAAAATTTTAAATCGGGCCTGGCGGATAAATTTATAATTCAAAATTTTTCGTGAATTTTACTTCATTTTATCATCCTGTAAAAATGCGGGTATTTATATTTTTTTTGTAAAATTTATAATAAAAATTCGGGCTAAGTAAATAGAGAATATTATTGGAGGAAGGCCTTGATTAAAAATAATAACTTATTTACAATACGCTATCGTTAGATATGTACCTTACCAAGCTATGGCTAAGTACTGCGGAATTTTGGTACCCCCCCCCCCCCTCCCACATTTATGTATATTGTTCTATAAGCTTCGGTCAAATATAAAGTTTACGAACTCGCATATTTCAAAAATAATTTTGATTTGCATCAATCTTTAATATATATTATAAATGAAAATGTAAAAAATATATACTTTATAAATATATTTTTTAGCTTCAAATAACTCTGTAATTTTATCAAATGAATATGTTTCAGACATTCTTCTACATGCCAAGGCTTTGCCTTTTAAAATTTCTCGGTAATCTTCAAATATAAAAATTTTTTAAATAAGGTATTACCCAGTAAGCTGTTATTCCCATAAAACTAAGGGCTTTTGTAGACTACAAATATGCTATGGTGCAGATATATGATTGAGCCTTTATAATACTTTTAAAATAGCTGTTTGATAAAAAATTTCCTCTATTCTTTTTTGCAAACACCTCCCTGAGAAAGTTAAAAATGATCCAACATTACTAAGAGTCTAAATTATCATATGAAAGTTTATATTTGTCTATAAATTATATAACTTTTTATCATTGTAATAAATTCAGGCTGTCTTGCCACAAAAGGTGTAAACCTTGACAATAAATGCACATATCAACTAATCAATTCTTTTTTGTGTAATTATTGGTTTTATTTTATTAACGACATCAAATGAAGCAGATACACTGGTTTGTATCATTTTTTTTTATAGTAGAGTTTGTTGGTTTTAATTTATATTAATTATCCTAAAATGCATCTCTAGTTTTTTTTTTTAAATATATAATTATATTATAACATAAAATTTTCCTATAGATAATATTTAATCTAACAAAATATTTATAAGAGTTTGTTTAACCTTTTATCATTTTTTTTTGTATAAGTGTGACATTCAGCCTGTATACATTGTCTTTTTTGACATGGATTATTTATAAAAATGTTACATCTTTAATTTTAAGATTGGGATATGATTCAGGGTAATTTATTTTCATAATTTCACTTTCGCCTTCTTTACTGCCATGATTGTTAATAATCCTACAAATTAAAAAGTAGATTACATTAAATTGGTAATAATATTCTATCGAGTTACATTATATATAAAATATATTATTTATTCATTTCATTTCATTGGTATTGTTATTTTATTTATTTATCTTTATGTGAATTGTAAATTTTCCAGCTGATTTTGGTTGTCAATATATTTAAAATATGGCGGAAAAAACTAGAAATTAATACATGATTCCACGAAGAAAATAAGGTTATATTCTGTTGTAAATTTTTAAACATGAATATTAAAAAGTAACTGTATCTTTTGTCAAGAAAATGAAAATGATTCGTTTCAGAATAAAGTTCTTAGATAAAGATGCTAGTATCTTGTTAGTCAAAAAATATTGAGTACAAGATAAATAAGAATTTTGTATCTAAGATAAAGTTTTCCCTGTACTGCTCAACTCTGTTATTTGACAAACCTTTATATTCTCAGGTTATGTGTATTAATTACATCTCCCATTTTTAGCCATCATATCAATAATTTAGACATTTCTTCAAAAACTTGACTAAAATTTAATGATATATCCTTGATACAAATGTCTTTTCCGCCATTCCCTTAAAAAATGCATTATTAATCAAGTGCAGCCTAAATTACACTTGTTTTGAAGCTAAAAATAAAATAGATTTAATAATAATAGTGTATATAAATATACCTTTCCTTTTTGGATAGCAATGTTTGAAGTCTAGAACTTTCAAAATCAAAAGGTAGATTTCTTCATAAAATCTTGAAATTCTCAAATTAATCAGGCAATCTTTTGTCAATGAATTGCTTTATTGCAAACCATATATCCTTCGATATCGATGGCAATTTTGTACGAGCCAAGCTTGATATCAACAATATGTTATCCAAAACACAGTGATAAAAAAATATCTTAGATTAAAAACTTTATCACTAGCCATTGCAGAAATAGCAGGATATTCAGAATCCTTTTAATTGAGCAAAGCTGCCCTCAAGCTTCATGAAGTAAAAGTTCTTTTACATTAGCCATAAAAGCCAGCATCATGCATAAAATAAACTTTTAAATCTAAACAAATAAATATAATACTACCGAGTGGCATACTTGATTCGTAAAAATTATTGCGTATTTATCAACAAGAACATACTTTGAGCACTGCATATCTTCTAGCGTCATTAAATATACATGAATCTCGTCTAAGATTCCTATAAAATTTCTTATAGAATAATAATTAAATAATTCAAGATTTGCTATTGTCAGGCGAGAAGGCTATAGACAAAAAATCTAACTTGATCATGCAAGTGAAAATGGTGATAGGATGCTCTGTATTTGATATTACGATTCGTGAAATTTATGAGCGATTATCAGATATCGATATTTTCAACAAAAAAAAAATCCAGCTAATACTATCATTGTTTTTTGTTTATTTTATGATTTATTTTTTATAATTATATTATTTATTTTATGTATAATTTGTTGTTAAAAGTTAATTTTGAGAAGTAACTACTCTAAGTTACATTTATAAAAAAGTAACTATTTATAATTATGCTTACTTTTATTCTTTATTAATGATTTATGTACCTCAATCACCTTTAATATTCAAAATAATTTTTTTAATCAACGGAATTTTTAAATTAAAATATCTTTAAATAAAAAATATAATTGCAATTGCAACTGAAAAAATATACTATAAAATAATATTCATTTATCTCGAAAAAATATATAAATTATACAATATAATATTTACTTTTCCTAAAAGCTTGAACTTAATTAATTTTTAGCTTACTTATTAACGACATACTATTTATTTATAAAAGGTTTCATATTTCGTAAAGAATTAAAACTAAAATTCTAGGAAAAAAATCTTTAAAACACCCAGAAAAAAATACTCAAATGCTCAAATAAAAAAACTGCATAAAACTTAAAACGCTTAGATTGAAAAATAAATCGCTCAGAAAAATATGACACGCTCTAAAACGTCTTAGATTTTAAGAAAAAAAGTCAGCGAAATTCAGTAAAAATTCTAAACTTTACGGCACCTGCCAAAGCTCAATATTTCTAGATAGCCGTCAGTTTAGTTGCCTATTTAGGGTCCTCTAAACAGCCTAAAAAAGAGGTGATTTAGATTGATGTAACCCGAATAGGTCCTGTTTTATTTATATCCTAAAAAAATATATAAATAAAAAATAATAATTATTTAATATATAAAAAACTTCAAAAATACCAGAATAGGGTGTCTTTGCTCTAAAGAAGTAAATTTCAAAAATAATCCGCGTTGAAGACGCCTTAGGTATTTTTTTTTGAATTTTATTTTAATTTATGATCATATTAATATTAAAAAAAGTTATGGCAATTTTTCTTTCTTCCTTTTTTAAAATTTTTCTATAGTTTTTATAATTCGTGTTATTTTTATGTTTATAATAAAAAGTCTAATATTTGATTCTTTTCACTTTACCAATTTCAAATTATGAAACAGCAAAAATCTAAAATTCATTATAATAGTAATCTAGCTTAATTTTTTTTAAAGTTGCATTTCTTAAAGGATGGAGGGTAAGCGGGTCAACCAAATATTTTAGCCAAAAATATTATGCAGGCCTGGAGATTTTGCTCATAGATGGCAGAAGATTTGGACATCTATTAACGAGATCTAGAGGCTTGCATAACATTTTTTGGCTAAAATATTGGGTTAGCCGTTTTTAAAAATCGAGCCGTTTAACAACACTAATAAGGGGGGGGGGGTGTTGCCAGTTATCTCGTGTATTTGTCTTGGAATTTAATTTCATTTTTAAAATATAATTAAATTTCCAAAGATCTGCAAACGCGACTCGGACCCTGTTCCGAATCGTTGTTAAATTTTCTAAATTTCTAAGAGGCTAAAAAAATAATATAGCTCAGGCCAGGGAGCTTTAAATAGGTTTAATTTTTATTTTTTTTTTACAAAATATCGGCTATGATTTAAAAAAAAATTTTTTTATATTAGATAATGGTTTTTGTCTTTAAAATGAACAGATTAACAAGTCATAGCGTTTTTCAAGTCTAAAAATTAACAAATGGGTGGAAATTATTTTGTCTATCAGGACTGGTTAGAGGTACAAATTTCGACCTAACTAAGTATGTGATATTTATATTATATGAAATATCGTTATATCTTGAAAATAAAATTATAATATAATTAACATTAACCGCTTAATATTGCATCCATTCTTATTTTTTATAATATATATAGTATATGCATA